CGAGGGACTTGATCATACGGAGGTATGATTGAGAGCTACTAGGAGCTCCACTTCAATGAACAACACGACAAAAAGGGTTATGAATTTAAGGAGTGAATGTTATGGTACCTTAGAGGTGGGTCTTCCGTGCGTGCATCGAATTTTATATCGGATGAAAGACTTGGTCATCAGCATATGGGGGCTATATACCACCGAGGGGGATTCTGAATGTAAGTACCAATGAGTCCCATGGGGGAAACTTGATCAAACAAAGGTATGATCCAAGGTCTGTCATACCGAATCGTACCGCCCGGTACGGGCGGTACGTACCGGTCCGACAGGCCAGCGATACGCGGACCACCCCGTACCGGTCCGACTGTAGCAGTGCAGTGCACTGTAGCACTGTAACAGTACAGTTATTGTTGCAGTGCACTGTTATAGTAGCAGTACAGTGCATCAATACACTGTAGTGGTGCTACAGTGCTCGGTGCACTTGGGTGTACCGCTCGGTACATCGTACCGTACCGGTACCGAGCCTAGGTCGAAATACTGGTACGGTACGGTATTGCGAACCTTGGTATGATCGGAGCGACTAGAGAGTTGGACTGCTCCATAGCTCATATTTGCTTGAGGGAGCTCGACAAGTCAAAAGACAAGGCTGAGTGAGAGAACATTACTACCGAGGAAGCAAAGAAGAATAGATCGGCATGAGCCCTGCAACATGATGGTGGAGGCCATGCATGGGAGTTACGGTTTGTCTTTCTATCAATCAAGGGGAACTGTTCGGAGAACACATTGGTGTTGAAGTAGGTGGTCAAAAGGGGCGAAGAAGTGATGACGAATCCAAAGGGACTTAGCTACCTAAAACCAAGCGTCGGTTAGGATGGTGGTAGACTCGGAGGAGTGTCGTACTGCCGTAGAGGTGAATATACCAATCATGAAGAAAGGGAAGTGCCGTAGAGACGGATCTACCAATCGTGAAGAAAGGGACGCAGATGTGAGGCAATGAAAGTAGGGTCATGGGCATGGTAGTGCCATCGAACTGTAAAGGTGGGACTTCCGTGGATTCATTAATCCCTTGCTCTCATGCAGGGAAAGTGCATAGTCATGAAAGGGGACTAAGGAGGTGGAGAACGTAGAAGCAAACTCCAAGTATCGAGACGAGGCTGAAGGGTAGAGGCTAGGGAACTTCGTAAGATCGGTGTCGACGGGCTTCTCATGAAGATAGTCGAAAGTGGGGGGACTTCGGGTCGATACAAAAGTGCTTGACCAAGGAATGGAGTAGGTAGTACACGATGCTGTACCTTTTCTATTCAGAGGAGTAGATGGCGAAAATGATCGAGAAGATGGTACAATCCCAGAAGCGACCAAAATTATCGGAGACCTGCTCCAAGTCGGGGTGAAATTTTGCTCTTTTCGGGAAAAACTTTTTGTATTCCAAAAGTTTGATGGCAATGAGGAGGCGAATCCCAGTAGCTAACTCAACGCAAGGAATGCAAACACTTCGGGTGCTTCAAAAGTGTGAGCAAAGAGCCGATAAAAGCTAGAAACTAGCTTGATTCATAAAAAACAACCCTTGAGGAGGCGAGTAAAGTCAAATAACATTTGCCTTCTTAATTCTTAAGAGAATGGGCGAAACTGAGTATCCTAGTTATCTTATTTATCCAGTAGAGGAGCTCTGCACATATTCAAAGACCGTTTGAAGAAAATTAGTAGAAGACAATAATTGTTAAACTCTCACCAATGGTGATCAGTTCTACTGAGAGTAGATTATCCGTTTCATTTTTTAACAAAATACCAATCGAAAACAAAAGCGATGCGAACTTACTTGGAACTAACAACTAAGTAGAAGAGGAATCGATGGACAACTTTTACAGAGGAAAGACCTCAAAAACTTCAAAGTTTGCGAGGCGATCCTCGTTAAAGCTCCAGTAGGCATCTACCCAATTCAAGCAGCGTGAGACATTTGAGAGACTAACATATAAGAAATGTATTTTTCTTTAACTAAGGGATCCACATGAACCAACAAAGATTAACACAACTTGACCGACTCCACATTAGTGTTAGAGTCTTGGCAAGTTGAAGCAGTATTGGCAGACCAAAGTTCGACTATTCAACATCGACAAAGAACAGTTGGGAGCCAAGAGGCACATTGTAACTGGGGCAGAAGATTAAATATTCAACAAAGGCGAGTAGATATAGCATCCATAAAGGTTTTGATGAGGATGTCGAATGAATAAGTGAGGAAGAATGTCATGGCGATGTAATGTTTATGTATGTCCGTGGTCTTTCAATTTTATTCATGCTTTACACAACATGAAGAGGGTTTGTAGTAAACTTGACAACCCCATTTTAGTTGGCTTTTATAGTAGTCTTAGTTCTATAAACACATGTTGTGTGCAGTTATCGTGCAGAGGCAAAATTGTTCAAAAATAAGATATCCAAACAGTCATTTTGGAGTTTTCTAGCTTCGCAGAGTGGTGCGAAGTGTCAACTAAGGCAACACCTCAGAGCTACCTGATGGCACATGGCTGGATGAGCTTTTAGAATAGTGTCTAGGGTTAGTTCGTTGTTTTGTTCCGCAACAGTGTTAAGGGGGCACTTGTGAGGACTTTTGGTCACGGTCGATAATTTTGGACTTTTTGTCATATGACCATTCAGAGCTTGTGAAATTTATTTTGTAAATTGCATTGCTTATCAAGTATTTGCTGAAATATTTGCTTATAGGATCCCGATTGAAACGCTTCCTCTAACCCGACTTCTCTCGTGTAGTTCTTTAAGAGACCGTAAGAGGTTTTAGGGGAGTTGACTCTTTGCGGATGGACACATAAGGGTACCATACGACTTAGGTAAAACCAGCTAAGTCTGTGACAATACACATTTAGGGTCTTAGCCACTTTCCATACAAATTTGAAAACAAGTAATTTTAGAATTCTCAACATTAATGATTCAGTGCATATTAAAGGCTAATAACTGCACATCCAGACTTGATTTAGACATAGGATTTTCCTTCCCTGTCATTAACAGATTTAGGAACTATTTTCAGTAGTAGGTCTTATATAAATTTTAAAAAATATCTTAATTAATTAAATTCTGTGCAGAAAGAAACCATCCTTTCAAAGTTTTACTATCAGCATATATGAATTAACTTGAGCCTAACTCAAGCAGAAAGCTCTGGAATGGGGAATCAAGCCTGCACTTGACAGTAGGTGCAGAAATATGGGTGTGCATGAATGAATATTAATTTTTGCTGATGTCGCAGAAGGTGTCACTCAATTAAAAAGGCAGTGAGCATGTTCTAGGACATAAAGAAACTATTTCAGGGAATATACATTAGCATCAAGTAAAATCAAACATTTGTGCAATTTGATGGTAAAAAAATGAAAACATGTAATTTCCAGTTTCAGAAACTACATATTGCAGCTATTTATACATTGAAAAAGTAGTGGTCTCATAATGCAAGTGGAGGAGTCATACTTGATTGGAGTCCCTGGAACATAGAGAGGATTCTTTACAACATATTCCACATAAAGGCTGTATATTTGCTTCAGAGACTCTCGATGGTCGCTGGTCTTTGGATGTGTGATTAAGATAAGCTACATAAAGAAAAAGGTAAATGCTAGTTGTTTGCCTCAATGGTGATGCTATAGTAAAAGAAGCTTTAAAGAGTAAAATGTACAGCCATGATCTTCCAGTAAGAAAAATACTTCTCTAGTCAAACATGACTGTTCAATCATGGTTCCTCAGAGAAAGTTTAGCATATAATAGATCACCATCCACTGTCTAAGATAGAAACATGACTCATGAAGCCAGGACAAAGAGGCACAACTAGTGTTTCTGCTATATGCACAATGATGGTGATGAAGCCAGTATAATGATGCAAAACCAGTTGTCCCTACTACGCACACAATAGTGATTACATTATTAAACAGAAAGATGAGTACACTGAAGATCAGCATACACTTTTGCTCTACTGTACCTAAACGAACAACACTAATCTAGAGGCTGCATCAATACCGTACCTATGGTGGATTCTGACTTGTTTTGGTATTCAGTTCCTCACACAGCTAAATAAACACAATTACTTTCAGAGAAGGAAAAGAAATCTGTATGTTGATTTAATGAGTTGGAACCATGAAAGGATGATGGCATTCAGCGAGAACTTAAACCACATTTTTAAATAGCCAATTCCATGAAAATGGACATTAACATCTACACATGCTAAAAGCATGTTTGAATATGTTCTCAATATGAAACTGTAATAATTAGCTTGGCACCTTAAAATAAATATTAAATCAAGGTTTGTCATTTTGGATACTGGACCCGTTTCAAAGATTTGCCAGGTTGGTACTTACCGGTCTATACTGGTTTACTGACACACTATATGCTAGGGCGTGCTGATAGGGACTCGGGCAATCAGCATCTCAGTCGCCAACTGTACCGGTCCATACCGCCTGTACCGACTCAGGCGGTACAACAAACCAAATTTAAATTCAGTCTCTAGCAGCTTTTCTAATAGTTATAATGTGGAGTAGTGATGCTAGACAGTTGTAGATCAACTTTACCACTCTGAGCGTTGATTGCTGATTTAGTAGAATACCAACTTATCTCATGCAAAAGGAAAAAAAGTTTCAAGCCTAACTATCATTGCTTTGTATTTAGCTGAACAATTTCCAAGATAACCACAAACCCATCTTATTTTGTAATTCTGCCCATTCATTTTCGGCATAATCATATGTATGCAGCAAGAGATTTGCAAATTAAGTACAAGGCAGCAAATTCATGCAAAAGGAAAATTCAAGCTCAATTCAATAAGAATGAAGCATCACCAAATAAGTACTTCCATTGCTTGTGAAGATTGTTTGAAGAAAAAAGTTCAAAAACAGAAAAAATCAACAGCCAGATAGAAGAGTTGTGCTTGGTGATTGACCACAATTTATATGGTGAATTTCTTTGTTCCAAACCAAATTTCTTAAAAATGTAAAATCATTTTAAAATTCTGTCCATACTAAACCTAAGTAACCTATTGGTCTAATAACTTGTATGAAGCAAGCTTGGTCACATGGCTTAATGTGGATAACAAAGTTACTATTAGTAGACCACAAGCTCGGTCTACATCATCTTTTCTATTGTTCCTGTTGTTCTATATGGCAGCCTATGATGTCTGATGTGTCATGGGTTTTACCAAAAGGCGTGCACTTGATGTGTTTCTGGATGCCTTATTAACATAGGATGCATGGTTCCAAGTTGAGATCAAGTGGCAAATGGATGGCATGAACAAACACAATCAAGAACATCACTTTAGTAATGTTGCAACTAACAAACAATAAATTATGAACCAAGGGGACATTTAAGAACTAGCAATCAGCCAACTAAAATAAACAGGGATTGATTCTTGGATTACTAGGAAAAATGAATTGCCCATATACCCACCATTCAAATTTGTAACTCAACCAAAGAGTTGCTTTTGTTCCTAAGTTCAAGATACTCAATGGGGCAATCTTGACCGACAATTACCCCATTTTATAGATGCATGGGAATGTGGAAAGTAGTAATGCTCTATTGCTTCAACAATTCCCCAAAAGCCTCTTAGTGGTAGCATTTGAATGCTATTACTCTTTTAAAAACAAGTCAACCAAAAGCTTGGTTTAAATGAGGAAATCTTTAGAACTTAGTTGAGATTGGTTAGTTACAAATCACTATTGTTTGTTAGGCTTGTGAGAAATAGGTCTTACTCCAACACAAGATGATGAAATCTCAACATCGTGTGAACCACTCAAATACACTCAAGATGTTCGGTTGCTAATGGGAAGAAATAATAATTAGATAGCACAAAATTTATGCATGGGTAACAAAAACATCAATTCGCGTGTTGAAGTAAAACTTAAACGTATTAAGCCACTTAATAACCCTCTTTAACTAGAAACTTGCAGTTGCAAACAATCCTACTTAAAAGAAATTCCAAAAATAAAATAGGATTCTGAACTACGAATTGTAATTAGTTAATCTCCTTCAATCTACACCTAAAATAGTATTCATGCCCATCAATTCTGCTCTAAACAAGGTTCTAACATCATTAGAAAGAATCACACGAGGAATAATATAAAGAATGACTCAGACACAAAAAGAGTAAGAAACCAACTAAAATATCTGCTAGTTTGATTCAGTTGAGCTAAGGACCAGTCCGCTTAAAATCTAATATGAGATTCTCTAAATCTTACATGAAATCAACCAAAATTAGGAACAATTCAAACACAAATACAAACAATGCCTACAAGTCTAAATATCCAAAATAAGGAAAGACAAAGGAAGAATTCGACTAACCTTTATCCCAGACGGGCTTTCCATGAAACTCAGTTTATAGGTATTGGTCCTAAAACTATAAAAGGAGCAACCTTGGCCCGGTAACAGCGGCACCCCGAGATTGCCTTTATCCACGCTGCCAAAAGTAAGTGATTCACTGCTCCGCTCGAGCACAGGATATCAAAGGGGGCCGAAATTAGGCACGTACCTGGTGGGATCCATCTTGGCGGTGAAGGAGCGCAGGGAGAAGAGGAGGCCGAACATGAGCTTCTGGTCCTGGTTGGCGTCGAGCGTGCGCAGAGGGCGGTGCCACTCGCGGTAGAGGAGGCAGACGCCACCCCGGTTGAAGATGTAGAGCATGTGGGCGTTGTTCCCGGCGAGCCCCGTCGCCGTACCGGGCGGCGCCGCAGGGGAGGGGCTGATCTCCGCCACCGACGAGCCGCTGAAGAACTGCATCGCCTACGATCCCCGACGCCGCGCTCGTTCTCCTGCCCTTCCTGGATCTGCGCAGCCGGTGGTCAGCAAAGGCGAGTGGATGATAGATCCACTTGCAGGGATATAAACGGAGTGGATTCGGATCGGATCGTCCATTCGTCTCCGATCTGACTGCCAATCGAATAGTTGGATCAGTCAGATCGGAACCACGATCCATGTCCCGATCCGGTTCGACTGGGACAGAGTGGATCACGTGCGTACCTGGACGAAGGGCGTCGTCGGGAGTGGCGTCCCTGGCGCAGCCTGACGTCGGAGAAGAAGTGGTCTTGGCGAAGTGGCACTCTGGTCCTTCGTCGCCGCCGGAGATGACAACGGCCCGGGGCTTTCGGAGATGGAGAAGATTAAAGGAGGGAGAGGCGGAGTCACCTGCGAAGGGCGAATAGCACGTGCGGGAGACGGTTACAACGCAGCGAGACTATATTTTGCCACGTACCCGCCAGATGAGAGTGTGTTTGCTGTTTGATGTTTGGTGTGGACAACGTAGTAGAAATTGTGTATGGGGCTGACTACCTATTATATCCCATCTCTATGCTTTAACAAGTTATATTTATTTTTTATAATTATAAAAATAAAATATCTAAGTTTATTTATCCTAATGATATCAGTTGTACCGATGAAAACTTGAAAAATAAAAGATAAAAAGATATTTTAATATTTGATAGTGGATGGTGTCGGTGGACAACGGTACTATTAGCGTCGATACCGTCGTAATTGCCTGGCCGCCTTCAATGATGATAATATTTACTTTCATTGCGATGTCACCCGCCTCCATGAGGAGCATATCACCAACCTCATTGTCACCCGCCCTGCGCCATCCTGTATCGGATGCTACTCGACAACTGTGTCAATGTAGATGATGGTGACTTCCGCAATGTCTATGGTGAAGATGGGGATTGCCTCACCACTAACCCATTGGGCGGATCCCAGTCTTGACTCAAAGTTAGGATCGCCAGAGCTCTTATCGCTCGCCCCATTGTCATGTCAGTTCTAGCACAACCTCATGCCAAATGGCACCGCTAAGATAACTACATTGACACTGATGCAAATGGCTAACGACCCTTTTATCACTCAATAATTGTGTCGACGTTGATGCAAATGTAGAATGATGAAAGGATCGCTCGACAAGAGGTAGTGCTGACACTACCACGATAGCGAGGGGAGTGGTATGAGCTTTGACGACCCTAACTTCAAGTCGAGGTTGGGATTCACACAACAAGTTAACATTGAGGCAATCATCATCTTCGTCGTAGACGTCATGGCGACCACCACCATCTATGGTAACTGCATTAGCATTGATGCGACTGTACAACAACATAAGGTGAATAATGATGAGGTCAATAACATGCTCCTCATAGAGGCGAGTGATGTCATAGTGAGAGCAAACCTTATCGTCATCGAAGGTAATTAGATAACTCCATTGACATTGACGTCGATGCCAACAATATCATCACCTGCCACCAAATGTTAAAATTATCATTTTATTCTTTATTTTCATATTTTCGTTGATAAAACTAATATCTTTAAAGTAAATTGATCTAAATGTTTTACTTTTGTAATTATAAATATTTTAATATAACTTTTTAAAGGGTAAAGATTTGAAATATAAATATAATTAATTTAAAAAATAATTAATTAAGAGGATAATTTATAATTAGCCCAATGTATATGGCTATAAGTATATATATATATATATATATATATTCATAATTTTTTCTCATGTTCTTTCTATTTGATAGGTATTATATGGGTTGAAAATAAAAAATAATAATATTTCTTAAGAGCAATTATTATATTTGTCCTAATAAACTATAAAAATCTTTAGCAATTAAACTAGTTCAGATTTCCCTGACTACCGATGAGAATAAAAAGAAAGGTTAAAGCAGCCACAGCTCAGCTACTTGATTTAGCATCTGAATCTGCACTTACCTTTTGCAGACATATTGTTGCTGATCCTCCTGTCAAAAACATGGAGCGCTACATTTAGATTTAGCATGTGAAAATATTGATGAGTAGTAGACCAATACCTCATAAAACAAGTGTTGCTGCGAGCCACATGCTGGATCAACATCCAATTATAACGAGAATGGATCTGACCGAACCACTCAACGATCTCAAATTCCATCAAACCAGTCATAAAATTTTGACAAGAAACCTGACGGTGCTTTAGAGTGATGGATGTTGATTTAAGATACAAGCTATGTGCCACTCCTATTTATGCCATATAATTCCAATGAATGATAAAAAATATACATTAGAAACCACAAAAGAATGACTTAGCATCCAAGATGCTGATCACTGGAGCAAAATCTACCTCACTAGCTAATACAATGAATTATTGATTGTCGAGTATTAACCATAATCTAGGTACCCTCTGCTTCCTTCTCGTGCAGGCTGCCTGACTCTATGATGTTCCGAGACGGTTGCAATGAGCCAGTCATCCTTTCAAGCCCAAGTAATGCTTTTGAATTCACCTCTGCCCTCCAGGGATGAGTTAAGGCCATCAGCCTCTTTTTGATTGTCGTTTTGTGCAATCAGCACATCATTAAATTACTCGTCGGAGTCATCACCATGGTCCAAACATACTGATTGAACCTCACCCTCATAGAACTGACGTTGACTACTCTTGTTCCTTTCAGTATCCTCGGAAGCAGCAGGCATTGCATCATGATGCATCTCAATGCAAACATCACTAGCCTTGTCCGTTGCTTCAACCTCAAATTGAACTGCTTTACCTTTTTCCATGGTCGGTTCCTCATCCTTGCAGAGCTCGGTAGATGGTAATGAATTATGCACTGTACTTGTACTGTCCTCATTTACCTCACTACTCTCATGATAGAGATCCTGACAACTTCTATCACTAGTATCTTCTGCGACTCGCTCATTGGAATATCGGGTACTCGAGCCTTCCTCAAATTCTTCCATGTTAAGACTCATCATTTCTTTGGTTTGCCCAGGAGATACATCCTGTGCATCATTGTCTTGTTCACACACATTAGGTTGCAACAGATCATGGTCATGGCCATTGTTTTGATTGAGCAGATGATTGTTGACAGTTGAAGGTTCATCACATAGAGCTGGCTCAGATATGGTTTTGCCATCACGCGAATCAATTGCAGAAACAGATGCAGTGTTAGCAGGAAAAGATTGAAAGGCATCCCAGTCATCATCTTCATCTTCATCCTGAGCATCATCATTATGTTCTTCATTGTCATCATGCTTGTCAACTTTTGCTTGTCTAAAATGTGAAGCCTGCACCTTGCTTTTGTTTTCTGCATTAGGGGCAGGTTGTATATTCAATTTGTCATGCATCTTCATCTGACCTTGTCCGATGGAAGCACGAATCATGTCCTGAAGATGCAAGATCAGTTTATTAGTTCCGTATTCACATGTAAATGACTTCATGTAACAGAAGAAATACAGGTACTTGAAAGCAAAACTTTAAACAAATTTTTCTCTCAGTATAGCACCTGAAATTGCTGCCTTTTCAAAACTGGCATTTCCAACATTGAATCTCTAATGTGAGTTGCAGCTGAAGGAATCTGAACAAGACGAGAAACCATCCTCTTCGTAGTGGTATTCACCTCATTCAGTTCCTAAATATAATGCATCGTGAGAGAACATTAAGACAAACAAGATGAAAGATATTCTAACATAATGGTCATTTTTTTATTTTTTCTTGGCAAACAATAATAAATGGCAAAATACTCACCAAGGGAGAACAAACCAAGTCAAAAATTTGGCCATTATCTACAAAAGTATCTGAACCTAGAACCACATGAGAATACTTTGCTTAGGATATGCTATATGCTAATCACCTTGATGGTTGGCAATTGCTTCTATCAGGAAACAAGTTACTGTGGTATAAGAGGCAGAGGGCAACTTGAAGTGTTGTTTGAATATTTGGGAACTCCTTTCCAAAGCTACTTGGAACTCTACTAGTTCTAACCATGCTGAATTTTCATGTGACTAGCTGTAAAGAGCATAATTTACTTTGGGATAAGTTTCATTTAAAGAAATGGAGGAGGTTTGTTGATTCCAGTGGGTTTTGCAAAACTCTTGTAGAATTGCCAATCGCATAATACCAACTGTCCTTTCCCTAAGAAGGTTAGAACACTGGCCTTCAATCAGTCTTTCATTCCAAGTTACCTTACGATTTTTTTGTGGTCTGGGATGTGGAGGAAGATTATAGAAACTTGGAGGTACTGCTTGATGTTTAGTTTGTTACCATTTGTTGGGAAATTTGGGATGAAAGAATCATAGTATATTTCACGAGTTCAACTGAGGCTGGAAACTACTGATCTATTGGAGAATAAACATTCTTAACAAAAGGATATCCGTATTGTTTCCTTAGTTTGCTCATCAATGTCCATTCTGTCTAATTTCCTTCAATTTTTTTCTCATTCTAATCCTTATTTCATTGCTAAGTGAAATAATATTGCTAGGCTCAGGGATTAAATCATGAAGCACCTGTGAATGACATCCACTGCATTGAGAGAATACAAGGTATAAGGCTTCCAGCAGCAGCACTGTAATATGACGCTGGCATTCACGTGCTTGTGCAAGAGTATGAATGAGGAAGAGCAGCTTTAAGCAGTCCTCACTGACAGCTAGCGATTCCCTGCTTACATCCTCCTTCATAAAAAAATAATGTTGTAAGGCATGGGCAAGTTGCATGTTTGCATGTCTAAAAATGCTAACAAAATTACCTTCCATGTCCGCTGGATCAAAAAGAAAAGATTTCCAAGCAACTCTCCAGTGAAAATCAGAATAAATGATTGATTCTTCTGATGTGAGCCCTCTGCCAGTTCCCTTTGTGCATTGGTTTTAAGCACATGAAGTCCTAATGCCTGAACCTGCTAATTAAGATTCAGTCAGTTGTGTTTTCCTGCAATTATCAGGTTATGGAGGCCAAAAGTTAAAATAGTCTTGTAACCTGTATATTGTTATTAAGAATGATATCACTGATACAGTTGGTACAACTCTTGAATATGCTAATCCAGATGATATCATCGATTGCACTATTTTGTCCAAGAAGTTTAATTTCATGAACCAGTCTAGCAAGAGATATTGTTTCTTCAAGATAGAAGACAAGTATCTTCATGAGAAGTTTGCATGACTCATTAATCCTGTTGTCCACAATCAATATCCTTTTAATGCAGTCTCCAGACAAAGTTGCCAGCATCCTAGCCCATGTTCCCAAGACTGTTTTTAGAAGGGTGTTATCATCACTATTATGTTCAGCATCATCTGCAAAATAGGACAAGGTACATGTAAGAGTTGCTATGTGATTTTAAACACTCGACGTTTAGTTTCAACTATTATAAAACAATAATCTGCATAAGACAAGTCACAAATATCCAGGCCTAATACGATGAAGGAAAAATTCAATGGAGTAACTCACAACAAGGGTGTGCATGTTCCTAGGATGCTATAGTAACCATCACTGCATGATGCACTGTAACAAGTAAGGACTAATGATTTTTCAACCCATGATTGATACGTTGACTTGGTTTTGGTAGCTGAGCAAGCTTAGAATAAGATGCTAACCCACAAATTTGACCAGAAGAGAAAATAAGGCCTACAGCCAGACATTCATATAAAAGATTCCTCGTAATTTCACATTCAGCAAAAGATTGCTAAAGAAAGAAGCAGAAGAATAATATTTGGTTTAATTATTTTATCAAAGCAAAAAGTCTATTAACACAGTAAGAGTACCAAGTACTTCATGTCTTCCTCTAAGCATGTCTTCAATTAACATAATTGCTAAGTCTATGCTGGTCACAAATAGCAGACATTTGGCCAACTCTTCAGTCATATAATTGAACAAAGAAATTCTGTTAAGAAGACGGCCAACTCAAGTAAAGTTTTCCACCTCTACTACACAGAATATCACTTCATGCCCTATCACTTGAGCACAAATTTGTTGGCTTTATAGTCATCAACAATGACGAACAATATAAGCCTTAATGCATATAACTTCTCCCAGTTTTTCTTCCTCTACCATACCAATTGAACATTAGGTTGAGGAACAGAGAATATCCATTAAATTGGTCATAGCCACTCATCACACTCATTTGAATTTTTTAAACAATAAAATGATCAGGAGACAAAAGACACAATACATGTAAACTCCATTTTAAGATACAGAAGAATCAATGCTGTCTCTTTGGTTCACTTTATAAGAGGATATGATACAGTGATACAGTCAAATATTAAATAAGAAAAAAAAAAGTAAAAGACAATTTGTTCAGCCTTGCACCTCTTGGGAGGATTCATTGGCCTTAATCTGGCGTTAAGCTAGGTCAATGGTTAGATAATCATGATGGTTGAATGACCAAAATAACCTCTCAACACAGACAACTGTTTTGTTAACATGGAGGAAACAGGTTGGTATCGTCCTGCAATAGACCTCATTAGAGAAATTATGGTTACTTTGGGAAATCAGTTACATAGTGTACAACATGATTATTCTCCTAATTCAAGACAAATGAATTTATCTCAAACGAGTTCAAATTCATAATTTAACTACATGAATCTAGGATGAAATAAAAAAAAAGAAATTTAACAATTTTTATATAATGAAATATTGAGATGGACCTAGGAAAAACGACAAGATTATTCCTTTCCAAAAAAGTTGACTAGCTTCAGGTCTCGGAAATAATATCTTTTCTTGCACGCATAAGGTTATATACATTAATCAAGACCAGACCTTGTATTGGAAAGAGCCACATTCAGTTGGTTGTCCTTTTAGTTTTAAAATTACGATTTAACTAATTTATTTTTTAAAATAAATCAATTATTCTAAGATTATTTGGTAGCTAAAAATAGATTTAAGGAAATCTAAATAAGTAACTTTTTTTTAAATTTTCTTCACCCTTTTTTCTCACTTCTGCTCTGCTTTCTCTTATTTTTGCCTCCTCTTCCACCTTTCATCTTCTTCTTTTATTCTCTTTATTTTTTTTATTGCAGTGCGCTTGGAACAACAAAATTTCTGACTATCTCTTAATTCCTTCACCCTGAAATTCTGTGAGCTTGCCGTCTCTCTCCTCTCTCTCTTAGCCCTCTCTATGATGACTTAGTCATAAAATTAGTTGCAAAAGGCAAGCATCAATTGGGGTTGGGTCACATGCGGTCATAGGCAATGGGCTAAAATGTAATGGCAGACAACTAGATAGGTTTCTAATTTCTAAGCCTCTTCTCGCATACTATTGCTCCCCATCACCACTTTTGCTCTTCTATTTTCATAGCAAAATCTATTAAAATTGACTTGAACTGTCAGAATTGACGGAGTCTGGCCCATTCAAGACCGATCTAGCCAAATTTCGATCAACTCTATTCGAGTCTGGCTACATCAGGCTCATCCTGCATAATCTCAAGCCAACATGGACATGATGTGATGAAGCACCAAGTCAACAAAACAGGTTAGCAAATGGGAGAGGAGAGTAAGGGAAAAGAGAGAGGAGATTAAGGGAGAAGAGAAGAGAGATGAAAAACAGTGAAAAGATTAAAGGGTCTGACTTGCTGGATCCTCTGTCCAACTTATTCAATATTGGCTGTCACCATCATCATAGTTCAGAGCCTCACTGGTCTATCCAAAATAAGAGGAAAAGGATATACTTCTAGTATGGTGTTGCCTTTAGCCAAATCTCATTTGTGGGAACCTTCACAATGTCCAAGGCTTCGATGCTTTGTGAGATCATTGAAAAGTGAGATATACATGGGGAACATATATTAGTGTAATTTACCCTAATACATATGAATAACAACCTAAAAGAAGGATTGCAGTTGGTGATTTTAGTAGAGATTGAATTGACCTCTTATATAAACTGAATTTAAGTATTGATCGAATCCCTTCTCCAAAGTCATATTAAAACCACTGAACATAGAAAGGAAAAATGCTATCTTATTATTTTATGTCAAATGCAACCCACAATTGTAAAGTCCTACTTTCCAGAAGATCTAAAGGCTTAATATCTAAGTTACTGTAGGAAATTGTCTTCCATTTTTTTCTCGAACTTACATCATTTTTTCCCTTGATATTTACATTCTACATTCTAGTGCCTGCAATTTGGAACTATGTATCATTCCCAATATCTAGGATGGGAAAAAAAACTCAATTGGAAGGTATAACCAGATAAGTCAATTTACTGTGGTCATGCATGCTATTGAACCCTGCATTCATCTTATAATCAAAACTAAACATTTGTATTTTCTACACAAAAATAAGCATACATCTAATATTAATACAAGGACAGTAAATAAGTCAAATACATACATCTTAAAAGATCTTTTAGTGAAGGCACTATAGACTGAAGAAAATAGGCTACTTTTGACAAGCTTAGGTCGGTTGAAGCTCCTATATACCACTGATGAGGGAGCGATACAATTGCCAGTATCAATTTCCATTTTGTCTGCTACAAAGAAATGTCAACAATTAGTATATAAATAAAAAGATAAGGATAATAAGCATGGAAAATGTCAAACTGTAAATGGACTGGTAAAAATTTGTGTTCTATTCACGATATAAGATGATATGATGTCTCAAAAACTAAGCATGGGAAGTAGAAGCATAAGCTGGCATGATTAAATTTAACTAACCTTTTGCTTTGTTTTATATGCTATTTTTTTAGCAATAGCAGACAAGTCAACAAGCAAATCCTGGCCACTGAAATAATGAGTTGCATCCCTTCTTTAGCATTTAAGTTAAACATGAAAATAAAAGTTTAGTCATAATGACAACCAAACAGCTATAAGTAAACAAAAAAATATAAGGTAATAGTAGGTAACCAAAAGTCAATATGAAGTTATTTGCAAAGCTGCTACCTTTGAAATGTTACTGTGAGGTACTTGATACATAGTTCTGTTATTGAAGTTGTGAAGTCTTCCGACTCAAAAAAGGCATCAGGACAAAACTGGACTATCTGTTCAAAAAGCATAAATCATTATAATTAAAAGCTCATGCTACCAATGCCACAGTAACAGAATCAGCCAATTTGAAATAGATAACTCTTGCTTCTTGAGGCAAATATACAAACCATGTTATGAAACTTATTTACAAGAAAAATGAATTTTCTGTATGTCTGTGTCCACAAGGTCATCAAACAAGACAAAGTATGAAGAGGCACCGATGACCAGAGTTTCTTAATCGCTGAAGTAAACTCACCTTAAAAATTATTTTATGGCTCAAAATTGTGTCTGACCTGACAAGAATGTATTAGAGATGTTATTGTTGTTAATCAGATCATTAAGATAATAAGGAGATTAAGCCTTGATATGAGGATATTAAGGTTCACAAGAAATGAGTCCCACCAACTGTAGGTTTGGGTTTGCAAACACCTGTTTGTGGGAATCAATAGATTGATAAATCATCATAACAAGTTGACATGACCGAATGACATTGCTTACTATGCAGTGGCAGTTAAGATCTACATGCTCGGGCATCTATTACTGCCCATTTAGTTGCACCTTACTTGCAAAGAATTGAAAGTGATGTATAAAGTGTGACGATTCTCAACTCCTTTAGGTTCTTGTGTTTGATTGTGAAAAGTAAGAAAAGTGACATTAAATTCAACCATGATATGAACATCAAAGTCAAAAATTGAAAATTTAGTAATTTGAAAAATAAAGCTACAACTTTAATGCCAAAAACCTAAGGTGAGCAATGAAAAAAAAAAGGTTGAGATCACTAACCAGGTATTCTCTTTCATTTAGTACCATCTAAGTCATTCTTAAGAAAAAAAAAAAAGGTTCACAAAAGCTTGTTAAACTTCTGATGTACCAAGTAGGGTTCATGTCATTTCATTTGTATTCAACAAAAGAGTCCCAGGTGACACACCTTCATACTTTGGATCTAAGACACCAATATGGCATAGTACAAGGTATGCAATTTCGTACCGTACCGAAGTTTCGACGTTCGTTTGGTACAGTACGAAATTATATACCGAGCGGTATACCGCTCGATATATATATATATATTTCATTCCGTCCGGTAACGAGCGGTCTGTGTACCGATAAACTGACGGACCAGTATGTACCGCCCATACCGAACGGTATTATTCGAAATTGCATACCTTGGCATAGTACAGATTCACTGATATGCAAAATCTAGAAAACATATGATATGACATGGATATACAATAAATAATATTTTAAATATGTAATATTTTCTATATGACAAAGCCTGAAGTTTATTTGTAGTCCAAAAGAGTAGTTACATATCATGAAAATTAATAAGAAAAGAATGTGTTTCTAACTATTCACCTTGCAAGAGATTATTTTATGGCAACTACTACTCCAGGAACAAAAGATAACAAGAAATTAACATAAATCAATTAGAACTTAGAAGGTTATGTTATTTTTGTTAACGATGAAATGATGTTTACTAAAAATGACATAAAACACTGTATTAATATGTCCCATCTATTGTAAAAATTTAACATTCAAGAAAACTAAGTTCTTCCAATAAGTAACAATGCGATATCCATAAAGATCTTAAAAGAAAGTCATTTTTCAATAATTATAAAAATAATACGTTATGAAGTATCAAACATGGATCCTAAAAGTATCATATCTGACATTTATCCTAAAGCTAATTCAAAGTATCTGCATTTTATACAGCACACTAAGGGCCATGTGCATTTACTAAATTTTTTTGTACTTTCTCATAAAATGGATATTTGACAGTCAAATGCAGCATAGAGTTACAGACAGTGTTAAAAGCAAAAGAACTGGATCAAGAACAAACTCATCAACATGCTTGTTTATTCCCTTGTATGATATGACTAAGGTATATCTTCATTTATTAGGTATTGATATTTCATTTAAATAACAGAAAACATGAACAAGAATTAGTTTATAGTGATTTTTGGAATACTTTACATCTAATTGAAGCCTGTATTCCAGAATTTCATAGTGACATTGTACTAAAGCTGGCTATGCAACCTAGGATAATGTGGAAAGTAAAAAAATCTCCCACTTATGTTTTGTGCATCCAATGGTAAACTTTAGTTGAAGCATCAATTGTACATTACCTGTGATAATAAAGATATGACAAGCCCACTCCTTGAATAAGCTATGTGAGAATACACAAGAAGCTGCACCCATGAGTAGATAAATCAGTGGTACATTCTCTGCCAAGAATGATGCTATAACCATATGTATCTAAATACTCCAGTACCACACAATTAATAGAAAATTGTACATAACATACTTGCATTAGTACCCAGATTTGAATTGCAAATGGCCCAGGAGTAAATGTGGCCCAAAGAATTTCTTGCACATGCAATACATGTGTATACATAATTTATTTTTAAAGTTTGAAGGACTAATCTAGTTGATAAGATACACTAAAATGGAGACATTTTGTTCGTTTGATACCAAAAATTATCTGTTTGACGGCAAAGAAAAAGCGAATCATAAAGATTTAATAAAGAAGAATCAACAGAGGCCTCCAAAACTTGACAATGTACTAGATAACTCAGATGGAGCTTACAAATTATATCTGTTTGAAGGATCAATGAACACATCAAAGGGCATATAAAATGTTAAGAAAAGTTGTGAGACTACATGGAGAAAAAGGATAAATGAGACAGGTATCGAGGATTCAACATCTCAAAGTAGAGTGCAACAAACAAACTAAAGACCTATATATAAGTCATAATATTTTTGTTTATTTAAGAGCTATTAAATAAAACAGAGAACTTATATGCAAATAAAAATATTTTAAGTATTCTTAAAATATAATAACTAATGCAAATATTAATTGTATGCGAAGTCTAAATAAACATGAAAATGACTTCATATAGATTATAATGATTTCTAAGTTATACAAAATAACAATCAGACTAAAAAGTTCATAGAATGATAATCATATAACTGAGGGATGAATATATAAGATACATGATTTGTACGATACCATAAATTTACAAGGATTTATGTGCGGAAAATGATAAGACTGCTTTGTTAACGCGAAAAAAAAAATCAAAGAACGATTAAACAAATATACTTCATATCCCTATATTCTTGATCCATTAAGTAACTTTGGTTCAGACCAACACAGAAGGATTTAAATATTGCCTCAAAGTAAAGGGCCCATCATTTAAAGTGGGATTGGTAATGATAAGGCTAGGCAAATGGAATAAGCTAAACATAAATAGAAACACTATGCTGAGTCCCATAAGAAATAGATGTTCTTATAGGAATTAAATAGAATATCCACTAATTTGTTTTAGGTATTCATACTTTTCTGTGTTTTTTTAGGTATTCACACTTGATGCTAATGCCATTCACATCCAATGCTGGAACTGTTAAACAGTTTAAGCTGGCCCACCAAAAATAGATAATGAATAGTTTGTGTGAGAGAATATTCTTGTGCCACTCTTAGTGGATGGTAGTAGATATACACATGCGCACAAACAGAGGAACACATACAACACACCCACATATAGACACATAAAGATATAAAGGTGTTCAATATTTCAGAGGAAGTGACAGCATTTGGCCAATATTATATCGAAACACAACTTGATAATTAATACAATAGCAACAATACCATTAATTTTAAAATTTTAAATTTTTTTATTTAATTATCTGGATGGTACTCATCTTGTACACCTGGTATATAAATATGATACTGATCCAACAGATTACCAAAAATGCCGAGCCATTATTTAAATCCTTGATTCTAAGGGTGAATTTTTATCTTATGGTTTGTTTTCCAGAAATACTATAAATGTGGAGCTTTACCTGAAGGAGCTCAGTGCAAAGTTCTGATGAAAGAAATCCATGGTTGAAAAAATATTCATTCACAAGAGACTGAAGTACTGGTAGAGCAATATCACATGAAGTCATTGAATCACGAGTCCCTTGGGGCACTGAGACACCACTTCTCTTTTCATCAGCAGCAAAGAACATTTTAACTTGCATATCTGATACAAGTTGCTGTCCCTGAAACATAATCAGCTGTGACAGCCCCCACAGAAAGTGGAATTCGATAGCTTCCAACCTGACCATGCTGTGACCAGACAAGAACATGATTTTGTTTGAATCTTCATCACTCAACTTTAAAGAGTCGTCTGTTTTGAACTTTGCAGGTACTGCATCCAGAACTGTTGCTTGCAGAATTAGTGGCCAAACTTCATCTAAACACTTTTTCACCTCGACAGAAACCACGGCAAATTGAATTCCATCCAAGAACGGTGTGTACTGTAAAAAACATCCATAAAGTGGTATGCATAAGTATTACAATAGTCTCTTTCTTCGAAAGAACTTGGATATTTCACATGCTTACATAAAATTTTGAATGCAAGCCAAAACAGATGTAGGTATAGTCCTTGAGGATGCTAATCCAGTACTTCCCCAAAATAGTTGAGCTGGAAGAAAACAACGGTACCAACTGCAAATACTCATGAGGAATATCTTCCTGCTCCTTCAATAACTGATAGACATAATTCTTTATGGAGGCATGGGCAGCCAAAAGTCTGATTTTGATCTATAAAAGGAATATAGTCATTGATAAAGATCATTTGATTTCCAAAGAAATAGAACCAATTTATATATTTTTTTCTGGATGGAAGTGCAATAGCACAATGACAATTACACAATGCTCCCCCAGTTCAGAGATATAGGAATATATAACTTCAGTGTGAGGTTCATGAGAGTGCTACGAAGTAATAGAAATAAAAAAACATGATGCCTAGCAAAATAAACAAAACAGATGAACCTGGAATTCATGGCCCCAGCATATTTTTCTCAAACAAAATTTACCTTGCATGCAATCCATTCAGCAAAGGATGGATAATACAAATCTTTTACTTCATCGAGTGGCCGAGAAATCAAGGCATACATGCGGCTAAGGGCAACCTGATCTCCACTAATGATTCTGCTAGTCACGATCTGAAATTTTAAACAGAATTATTAAAATATTTTCATCTTACAATGGTAAATTGATGAAAATGAGGTTTAAGAATGGAAACGTAAAAATTGACCTTTGTAGCCAGTTCCAGACCAGCTTCCAAGAGAAGAGGACCAGATGAAGTGCTTATTGCAGATCGAACAGCAGACACAAGTTGAGCCTGTACCATGATGAGCAACTAAACTTGAATGCCTAACACTCATGGAACCTCTACCTTTTTTATCAGCAACCACTTGTCTTATTGTTTACTGTCACCATCTTGTGACAAAACGAGGTAGATTTAAAATTCAACTTAGTTTTGAAGTTACATATCAAACTAGTCAAAGAATATGTTTCTAGAAAGGAGAAAAAAGAAAAGAACTGACCTGATACTGCTCCAACAAGAGGTGCCCAGGGAGATCTGGGTCTGATGTACTACCAAACTGAAACATTATAACAAAAGGTCAAAATTCCAAAATGAGCCTCTTTTTAAAATTGCTTCCATAAGCCATAACACTCAAACTATTTGCGGTTAGAGACACGAATCTTTTCTGGTCGTTGAGCTCTATCTAGTGCATTAACAGTAAACAAGCTAAAAGCAGCCAAATTATGAGCACCATTTGCAAGTAACAGAATTAGATAATATGTCGTGACACACCAGGAAGATAGAAATGGAGGCTGGTATTGTTCAATAATGCATAGCCCGTCTCTCTTCTCAAGAGAATTGGGTTAATGTGCAATGAAAAAACTGAAGAATGCAATACAACCATATCACATGAAGAGATTATTTCTAACTAAATGGAAAGAGAACATTTTTGTTTTTTTTCTTATTCATCAAGAAAAAGAAGCAACGAGGGAAAGCCTTAGCACAAGAGTGATGTTGCTCCTTTGTGCCTTGCTAGCGACAATTTTGGACATGGGGCAAGACAACCCTTACCAGGCCCAGGCATCAGCCCTATGCATTGGATTTGGACCACCCTTCTTTCACAAGACAAAGATTTAGACTTCAACACTTTTAATATGAGCACTCTGTGTTTTTCATTAAGTACACTTTAGCCATTGTAAAGTCCATAATCAACACCTCTTTCCTCCCTTTATCCTCAAATCTCCAATGAGGTTGCTTCTTTTTCTCCACCTAGATGTCAAGAGTTCCAACCATGAAAGCAACCTCTCTGCTTGTTGGGTTAAGGACGCAAATACTTAAAGTACCGATGACTTGACATTGGCAGGAACCATGTGTACTGGTCTGTCCATGTTCGCCAAACAGAAGGCCATAAAACAAATCAATTTTCCTTAATCATCTAGCTCCATCAAGTGAACAAGAAGCAAAACCCAATTTCAATGGCCATTTGTATACAAGGTCATTCCTAATGGTGTTGTATGAAATATAAATTATTTGTTTATATCTATTTGTTTTTCTATATCACTTGTGTTTGACTACAACAATAACCATAGATATAAATTATTTGTTTATATCTTTTTTTTCAGATATATCACAAGTGATATAGCTATAATGATCACATTCAAACTGTCTCTGGGTTTAGAAAGAAGCTAGACCAATTGTTCTGTCAAGACCAATTAGTATTCTGAGAACCTTTCAATTCAAAATATATGTACAATTAAAAACTCATTAAAACTTTATAACATATTGCCTATTGAAGTAACCAGTAAGCCCCAAGTGGTGCCAGATCAAAGACTATAAAATCTACTAAACATACAACATTTCAGCATTTGATCCAACACCAATAATGTGCAATAGCAACAAACTCTTTTCTAAATGGAATGAGAACCTTATTTAAATCAATACGCTTTATGATACCTTGTCCATTATAATGCTTAGAACTCTCACACCTATGGATTGCATGCCTTCAAACTGGCTAGTGCTTATCTGTAACAAAAGAATATCATAAATTATCCAAACAATGAAACCTTGCATCAAGGAACCCAAGTAACACAAAAACCAATTTAGAGCAACAACCTGATAGGAAAGTGAGACTAACTCTTGTAAGTGCAGCACTAGCCAATCAGTTGACAAATTATGCTCATCAGTTACAGAACTTCTTGCCAAAGAAATATCAAAATGTGCTGGGTTTGATCCAACAGCTGTTGGTAGATAGCTCAAACACCTACATGTAATAAAGATGATGCTATTGTGATAAGTTTGTCCATCTTTCATCTCTCAACTGAAGATAATGTTATTACACAGCTACTGAATAAGCAATTAGTTTAAGACACTACCAGAATAAGTCTAGATAATATAATCATGTTGTTCCCACAAAAAAATGAGAAAGCATAGAAAAATACATCAGGTGATTACAAGCTTATATTCATTCAAGTTAAATGGAAATATCTGGCATAGAATATTGTCAAACTCTTTAAGATATGGATTGCATGGCAACTGGCAGGTGCCAGTGTGGGCCAAAACAAACTGAACTAGGAAGCTGTTGGCACGCTCCAAGCTATCCCATGCCAAAGATGCATCACGACTTCCTTTCTTCCTACACCATATAAGAACCATACCTGTCTGATACTGTGTTTAATTACCTGTCAACCGGTACAATATCAAAAAAACTATTTTGACCTATGCAGCTTGGTATCACTAAAAAAGATAATAAAAAGGCATTGTACCAAACAGTAACAAGCTATATTGAACACGACCGATGCTTGATTGGACCATTGAATACTGAACGGTGCCTACCAGTCAGTGCTTTAAACCTAAATAATGACCTTTATCTATCTCAATTTTCAAGCAACACTAGATATCTTGATGGAAAATCTTCAACTCAAAGCAGTCGACAAATTGCGTTATGCATGTCCCTCAATGGATCAGCTAGTTATACTGCCAATGACAACAGAATTTGATGTCTAAATATGGCAATGACCACGAACTCAAAGAATAACAAAATGCACACATATCAGTAAAAGCTAGATATAGCTTGTAGTGAAGTCTATAGAGTAGCTTGTGCTTCTCCAAAAGACAATCAATTGAATAATTCTAACCATAATAATTTAACATTAATGGAATTGACAAATTGGTCGGATACCATCCTATAAAAAACAACATATATATATATATATATATATATATATATATATATATATATATATATATATATATATATATATATATATATATCACTATACCACGGAATACTGACCTGTACCGGGCAATACACGTTACATGACCCTGTATCAACCGATACGAGGTCTGTACCGGTTGGAACAATTAAAATCTGACCGTTATCGACCTATGCTGATCGGTAACGGTCGGATTTCGATCGATACCGATCAAGGGCTGAGATTGCCCTGTTTTAAATTGTCCATTTGACTGTTTGAACCAAAAGAAAAGATTTTTAAACCTTTTCCTCCCCTGTCTTTCAACTCATTTCACTCTCTCAAACTCTTCAACTCTCACAAACTCTCTCACTCACATCTCTCTCTTATTCTCATATTTTCACTCTGTTAAACTCAACAAAGCTGTGATTTATGGATTGGATCAAATTTTGAGCAGTTCTTCAGCCAAACTGATGAAATCATGAAATCAACTGCTTTTAGATAAATCATCCAATATATTGGGCCAAATGAGACAAAAACAACCAATCTTACCAATTTCATCTAATTCTAAGATTGGTTTAGTAGAAAACCAGCTCTTAACTATCATTAATGACATTTATCCTTTTTTTTTAAGAGGACGAAGGTTTAATTTTCTTTGGACTCTGCAAAAAGATGATAGGGTGAGATAAATGATGATCTTTCAACCTTTGATCACACATAGTTTTCTTTGTCTTCATTTATTTTTTAATATTTTTCATATTTTTTGTAATATTTTATTCATTTTTTTAAAAATAAAAGTCTTTAAGCCCCATGAATCAATTATTCAACAAGATGGAGAGATTGATAAAATATTATTCAGATAAAGAACAAGGGGGTTAAATTGATGAGGAAGACAAGAAGTGTTAGGAGTCTTATTTGATCATCAGATACCTTTAGCATTAAAATGAAGATTTTATTGGATAGTTGTTAGACCAACAATGCTTCATGGATCCGAGTGTTGTCAGTTAAGAAACAACATATACAAAAGTTCTGTGTTGCCGACATGAAAATATTAAGGTAGATACATGGAGTTAATAGAAAAGATAGGAAAAAATATATTTTCATTCGTGAACAAGTAGGTGTTGTATTGATAGAGGATAAAACGAAAAAAAAAAGAGGATAAAACGAAAAAAAATCGTTTAAGATGGTATAAACATGTTCTCAGGAGACCCACAGATGGGATTAGAAGATGTGAAATGATTACTATTAGTGATATAAGAGGCAAAGGGAGACCTAAAATGATAATAATAGAAACTATAAATTAAAATTAAAATGCTCGAAACTTACAGATCTCAATAGTGACAAAAAATCAATATAGTCGACCCAAGGACTTTATGGCTTTGTTGTTGTTGTTGTCTGTGTTTGTTTTTTTCATGATCAAGAGGTGGGGGGAGAGAGGGAGGGAAAAGTCTTCTTTAAGATCCCAGTGGAAGCATAATATTCATGTTTTAACTGTTTCTTAGCTAAGTTTTATACTCTTCCACAATTATTTGACTCATTAAGGGAACATGCTTTAGATTTCATTGTGACTTGATCACCAATACAACCTCAAATTATTCCATTTAAAGCAAGGATTGATGTGTCGCCCAGACCAGTACAAAACGGGCGTTACGTATCCGTCCGAACGTGAACAAGTATGCGGATCGCTCCAAGTCCGATCCGGCCATATAAAAAGGAAAGCAATTTTCATGACTCCTTGTTAACCCTAATATTCTTGTGCATGCCACACGTTGCCACCATGCACACCTCCGGTACACATATCGCCATGCACCTCCGCCACAACCTTGCCGCACACAACTAACTATGGGTACACCTCTTCCTCAGCTCCTACACTTCTTCCTTTCTCTTCCTCCCTCCTTTTGTGCTTCCTCCTTTTTCCTCTCCTTCCTTCTTCCTCCTCTTCCTCCACCATTCCTTCCTCTTCTCTTTCTTCTTCTTCCTCTATGAAACACCAGTATATATCGGTGTACTGACACATGGCACACCAGTATTGACGAGTTTGTACCAATATGATTAGATCACCGAAACGAGTCTGGTACTCGATACAACGATCGTTGATTTAAAGGAAGTGAACAATTTTTTATTAAAGCAAAACACCTGATTCCAAAATGCCACATTTAGGTTTTACTTGGTGTTCTATATTTCAAAAGTAATATCAAATGAATTTTAAAAATTTAAATTTAATCCACGTTACTAACAATCAACTATGCATATTACATATTGTCAAATTAATTGCATGCTTTACAAATGGAGATGACAAAACTAAAACCTTTTTAATACTCTTTACACATATTCTTAAAGTTTGGGGTTATGTGCTATCCACACTTTATTAATCTCTTCTAATAGATCTAAATTCCTTAAGTAGCCACTTGCTATAAAAAAGAAATGAAAACTTCGTGATCAGTGCAAGAAGATTTCTAACGAAACAGTATACCATGTTCTACGGGTTTAAAAGGTTTAATAAACGATCTTCACTTCCCTATCCCACTCACTATCTTTGTCATAACCCTACTGGACAAGATAAATAACCCATTAAATTGATAGGCCAAAACCACTAGCCCAAAATAATTAAACTCAAGTAATGGTAATAGGCTCATGTAACTCTCATAAGTTTTTCTTTCACTTCCAACGTGGGACTCAATCCCCTCATCAAGAACCGACATAACTTCGAATCAAATGCTAGCATAGTCCAAGTGTGGTCCCCTTGCTCCATGTTGCAAAATGTCTCTAGCCCCATCCACAGCCATGAGTAACTATTTCCTATTTTGATATCTTATATACCCCAATACAAGGTCGGCCCTAATACCATTTGTTACGATCCAACGCTATTGCAGCCCAATAGGGCAACTAACCTAAGAATTTTGTTGAGTTTGAATCAATAGTCCATAATGCTTAAACCAACGTGGTACACTCATCAAACTCATATAAACCAATTCAAGTCTTGGATTGTGTGTTGGACTAAAGTTTGAGGTGTTACAATCTTGCAATTATATGCTAGGAATAAAAGAAAACCAAAAGTAGAATATTCGATGGATAGGCTATAGAGGTGAGAGTAATTAACAAAGTCTGCCATTAAAAAAAATGAGTGGAAAATCAACATCCTTAAATACAAGCTAACCTTTACCAATCCATCTATTCTGTTTCAACTTATTTGTCAACATTATTTCGTATCTTATTGAAACAAGTTTTGGTAGGCACACATACATATCTTTTGCTCCAAGAAAGAAAGGATTGCATGCTCTAAATCTTTCTGTCTGTCTTGTTTGTAAGTCATAGGGGACCCATGTTTGCATTCTCAAATTCTGTTAAGCTTCTAAGCTAAAAAATTTACCCTATAAAGCATAGACATAGAAATTGGACACCAAAACATGGTATGGATAAGCTGATCCATTATATCTTAATACGATAGGATATGACTTGACACAAATACGACAAGAAGGAAAAAAACTCCTAACATATATAATACTATTTATCACAGATTAGCATTTACTTGTGGTGGACTACATTCTTGCATCTCATAGTAAATAATTAATAAATTATCATCCAATATATTAATCATGAAAACAATTATTTTTACACAGTAACTTGAGAATGTAGAGAAGGATTTTTAGTAAATGAACATCACTATTCTGATTCTGTTAATGATTTATTAGAAGCTTAATACAAATGATAATACAGACTACAGAGTCATATATCCATCTTATGTAAAACCAAATATCAACATATAATAGAAGCAAAGTTCTCCAAGGAATCCAAAAGGATCTGATCTTTAAATAATTATTTAAAAGATTAAATGATTTTTCAATACCCTATAAATATTGTTATATAATACATATCCAGTAATACAAAACAAGCATGTCAATACCCAATAAATATTATTAAGTATCAATGATTCATAGGATTTAGTTTACTAAGTGGTACAAGGCTCCAGCTATGCATTTTTATGATAATCCTAAAGTCATAATTTTTTGATCAGAAACCTAAATCAAGTAGAACTCCTAAAGATATAGCTTCCGACTATATCACATATCTTGACACCCAGGAAAATTCTACATGGTCCAATCTTACTGGCTGTGAATGATTGATTAAGTACTACATGATACACAAGCTTTCTGCAATACACTAATCTCTTACTCTATTTGCATGTACGTGAGTGGACCTCTTTAAAATTCTTAATAGAGGGCATTTAATATTTATGGAGGTAGCATGAATCTCAAGGATTAATAGCTATCGCTTGGTTTAGAGGACTGTGTAGTGGCATTCAGATTGTCTGATTGGTCTATATAAAATTTTCTGAACACTTCCTTTCTGAACCGCTTTCATGCATCAAAGAACACTGCATTATTCTATATCTTTTGGTCACAGCATACGGACTACATCTATGGACCTGAGCCTGAGGAAACCTTTGGCCTCAGCTGCAGAGAAGAGTAGTAACATCAAGAACCAAGCAAACTAAAGTTTTCAAAGATGATGCACGTTAAGAACTCTTAAATTCAACCTTCATCCTTACTGCTCTGGAATTCTTAGGATAAGAAAAATGTCAAGGATAATTAATTTAGAAAGTAAATTAAATACAAATAGAATATAAAGAACATCACATACTCTGCAGCAAAAAGCCTGGTTCGATATCTGATATGATTTTCTCTCTTATAGACAGAACCAAAGGTTGAAGTGGAACCATGTATCTTCTCCCCTTTAGAACTAGCTATCATGTCTTCATCATCTTCTCCAAAATAAGACGCAGCATCACCTTCAGATGCACCATTTGATTTATTATTACCTGATCCTGAGTAGTTTTCAGAAGCAATCCTTCTAGCTGATGTTGCTAGAACCTAGCAGTACGTTTAGGACTTTTACCATTAGTAAAGGAAATTTAAGTAATGCCTCAAATAAGTAGTGATCTTGATTTTAGATGAAGAGGAACATAAGTGAACTAAATGGAACCCATGCATCAACAATACAAGCTGTTGTGATTATCTTAAAGATTTATTTAATTTCTTCAAAAGATCATAACAAAGATGCAAGGCATGCTTGATAGCATCTTATTTCAGTTTGCAAGACAAACTAGCATGATAAGACACGTCAAACAATTATGAAAAGAAAATTTTGGCAAACAATTGAATATATCAAGAAATTCACAGCACATCAATTGTGAAAATTATTAGAAATGTGAATGGTTGAGCCATGGTTCGCTTTACCGGTGCGTATCGGTGTATTGACCAGCTGTCGGTATAATACATACCGAGTTGTACCGAGCGTACCAACACATAATACATGGGGGCATATCGATGTACTGCCCATACTAGTTTCCTGTCGGACTGGTACCTACCGCCCATACTGAGCGGAATATCATAGTACAATGAACCTTGGGTTGAACTATTCGTGTCAATATTATAAATGAGAAATTCACATGGAACGAGGGTAGGAGGGTACTTGTCAGTGTCCACAAAGGAAGCGGCAGATGATACTACCAGAGTTCTCAATGTATTTAAAGGTTTAGCATCGTTCGACAATATGTGAGTAAGGATACAATATTATAAATGCATTGGGTTAAGAGATAACAAACAAGGCAAGTAAAATCAGAAAATTTATTGTTTGTCCAATATTAATTATCCCATGCATGTCTAAAGCATTTTCTAGACTTCCATAAATAAGTAGCTCATATATTTTCTCGTATCTTGAAGACTGGAACAATCTAGTAATAAATGAATTTTCAAGACATAGTTAAGATAAAATTCCTTAGTGCATGCTGTTTACTGATGATATTATTTTGACTGATGAGAGTCTAGATGAAACTACTTCTAAACTTGAAATATGGAAACTGAGGATTCTAGACTTGATAGTCTAAGACTGATTATGTGAAGCTCGACCATCACAATACCAAATAAAAAGTGGGGGTTATAATTAAAATATATGGCCAAAAATCATGAAAAATAAAAGTTTATATGTTTTGGATCAAAATGATGGGTAAAAACAAGGTCCGCAATACCGTACCATACCAGAGTTTCGACCTGGGCTCGGTACCGGTATGGTACGATATACCGAGCGGTACACCCAGGTGTACCGCTCGCTACAGTGTTGGAACGGTAACATATGGTCCGCGTACCGGAAGCCTGTCGGACCGGTACGTACCGCCCGTACCGCCCTACGGTCCGGTACTGCAGACCATGGGTAAAAATATTGTTTATTGAGTTAAATTGAGATAATTTAAGTAGAGATGGGCATTAGGAGTGTTGTGAGATTGTCATGCACCCACTTACCCGTAAACTCTAAAAAGATGTTATGTTTGTCATATAAAGGCATGTATGATTTAGGATAAATAACACCACAAATCCATTAACTTTAGGACAAATTTTAGCTGGGTCCACCAACTTCAATTTTTTATTGGCACCCTAAACTTTAATTAATGTTTCACTCAAGTTCAACTGTCAGCTTTCATCGATAACCCTTGTTGGAAAGCTGAGGCAGTAGGGTAAGAACTGATTTAGTAAACTGTCGTTAATAAGTAAGGTTCTGATTACCGTACTGTACCATAAAGTTCTGAATACCGTACCATATCAATGTACCAATCAAATGTCGGTATGGTTTGTACCGAGCTCTACCAAGCTTACCAACATATAATACACTAAGTTGTATCAATGTACCGCCCATACCTAACGGTACGATACAGTATTGCAAACCATGCATTAATGTTAGCATGCCAAACTTGACTTGACTCGCCAACTAACACAAGCAGGTCATACATTTACATTTATATTTATATTTCATGCGTATTAAATATTAAAAGATATTTCTGATAGTAAAATAAGTTTAATTAGGTTTTATTAAAGTTATTGAATGCTGAGATTAGTTATTTTAATGATGATTTAATCAAAATTTGATCGATTTTATGTCAATTCAATGTCTTTAATATCTATTAGGGTGTTTACCATGTTTATAGTGTTGAAAAAGAAGTAATTAATGGGTAATTAACTATGTTAATCATATAATAAGTATATCTAATTTTGATTTTATCGTAATTTAAACTATAGTGGATCAAAATTACATATTTAATACTTCTTTTATGTGTTTGACATATTTATGATAGTAAAATAGATTTAATTAGGTTTTATTAAAGTTATTTAATGCTACGATTAGTCATTTTAATGATGATTTAATCATAATTTGATTGATTTTAGACCAATTTAATATTTTTAATACCTATTAGGGTGTTTGACATGTTTATAGTGTTGAAAGAGAAGTAATTAGTAAGTAATTAACTATGTTAAACAGGTGATTAGTATATCTAATGATGATTTTATCATAATTTGACCCATATTCGATCAAAATTATGTTTAATGCTTCTTTTATATATGTAACATATTTATGATGATAAAATAGGATTAGTTATGTTTTAATAAAATTATTTAATGCTACGATTAGTGATTTTTAATCGATATTTGCTCAATTTAATATGTTTATACTTTATAGCTTATTTGATTTAAATTTGGTAAGATCACGGCACCAAAGGAACAGCCACATGATGATGCATGGGTTCATGCCAGAAAGATAGGTGGGAACCATCATCATTGGCAATGTATTTATTGTGACTACATTGGCAAGGGTGGAGGAATAACTCGGGTGAAGATGCATTCGACTGGCGAGTATCTTGATGTTGCAAAATACAAGAAGACTCCGACGGAGATCCGTAAATTATTTCAAAGCAAGCTACAATAAGCAAAGGAAGATACATTAAAAGAGAAGGCAAGAATTGAGGAAGAATATTATATGGCTATGCAAGAACTAGTTTATGATCAGTATGAGGGTTGCGACGATCAAGTCGACCCGAATCTCACAACTGGGATTCGTGCATCATTGAAACATCAGTATACGGTCAATGAAGCAATGTGGCATCGACGACCTGACTCACAATTGGAGAATGGCAGTGGTAGTAGAATCCAGAAGCCGCCCAACATGAGATAGCCAACTGCTCCTCAGTTTATATTGTAACAAAATAGTCTAACAATTCAAATGATTTTTCTGCAGATATTTCAATATTTACAGAAAGACAATTCGTAACGGACTGAAATACGAACTTTGCACAAGATTATTCCTCAAAGCCCGAAAAAGATATGTGATATTATTCTTGCCTAATTTATATTGATTTTGCTAAACTTATACTATTACTATATTTATTTTCAACTTAAAAACCCTATCCTAACTTTTTTTATTTTAAGATATTTTCGAAGGATTTTACACCGAAATTAGGTGTACTGTTCGGAATGCCCTGGTGTACTGCTCGATACACCGTATCATACCGTACCAAGCCAAGCTCGAAACATAATCCAATTAGGAGTTCCATGGTTGAATTCATGAAGGGAAAATGTAAAGGACTAACATGCCTAGAAAGACATGTTAATGCATGTGAGAAAAAAATTTAAAACCATGGCAAATTTAAGTTGGCCCAAGGAAATAAATCCAATAACATTCTACTATCTATTTAAAACTTTTTTCAGAGCATTAATTAGTAATAATACTCAATCAAGCAAAATACACCAAACTAGTGTCAATTTATACCTTATTATAAAGAATATTCATCCACCGTGATGGACAAGAAACACATGATATGTGAAGCCACTGAGTGATTGTTGAACAGACCAGATTTACAATCCTACAGGAGAAGAAATGACTTCATTAGCATACTTTTATTTTTACGAAGCAATATTGTAATCTGGCATGTCCTTTAACAGAAAAACAGACACAAAAATATCTAAATAAGTTGTAATGCACACATTGCACATCATATGGGATTTCAATTGGGACATGTTTTAAAAACCACATCATATGAGGACAAATATTAATCTAAATGCTTTCATATTTAGAAACATAAGTTAGGTCAAATCAATTAAAATAGCATAATAGAAATAAAAAACACTGACAAACTGGGCAAATAGAACATGTTATAAAAGATAACAAGTGTGTTATCCTTATGATACAAACCTCTTATTTTTTCATATTGCTAAATAAATTATGGACAACAGTTAGGTTCTGCATTACAATGAACCAAGTTGAGCTCAATAAAGTCTGACAATATTCTAAGAATGGAGCCAATTGTAGAGCTAAGGCCTCGGAGTCTTGAAACATGAAAAGAGTTGTCTGAAAAACAGTCTTGAAACATGAAAATTCACTCATGTATTATTCTGATGGTTCCATATATTTAGTTGAATTATCCAAATTCCCTGATTTTATTTAAGTTCTACTGAAAAAAAGGAAAAAATGCATGCATATCACCATCCCTATTTCAAGACAATGAACCTGTTACTATATCAATAAGTAAAAAAAGTATGATTCTGTAACCTACTCAGAGTCAGTTTCCTCATCAAGCAGACTGAACAGGTTTTCTTCGATATTTGTGTCAATCATGGCAACCTGTCAAAATAAAACTAACAGATAAATAAATGTCTAGTCTGGACCCTGAAGTACATCAATATTTAAGAGACAACTGCCACAATTATACCTAAAGACATGATTTCAGTAGAACACCCTTTTTCTATATCTTGTGCTAAGCAAACTACAGAAAAACAAAGAGCCTAGTAAAAACAAAATGGTCTAGTAACCGCCTTTAACTCTCAAGCAAACATTTTAAGCCAATTGTCAAGCATGAAAGTCAAATACCTAACAAGACAAACAACTCATAGCTCATATCTTAGTACATCATTTCATCATTTAGTGCCACGAACAGATATTCCACCTAAAAAACAGGAATGGCGCTAAAATAATAATAGATTTGCCACAGAACAAGCTTGTATAGTGCTGATATCCCCATGATTGTTCTTGCAAAGCAAAATACTGAATTAGCTGGTTTCTAATTCAATAAAGTTTAATACATTTGGTCGATAGATCTACCATTGATTCACTTGCTAAAAATTTGTGGCAACATAGAAAATAAAATCCAAAGAGTGAAATGAGAGGTCTTTGTCAGATATTAGTTTTAAGTATAAAAGCGCCATATCTACTGTACTGTTATCTCTAAAACACCCAAGTTTAGCCTACATCCCTATTATCCATCACTGATCCAAGATTGAAAACAATATTTAAACCTGCAATATCCCAAATATAGTTCAATCGCCTCTCTTGTGGTCAATGACAAATCCACTCCCACAATAAATAAATAAATAGAATAAAATCAACAATAAAGTTAGACCTGGTCACCCCTGAACCATTTACAGTTGTTAAATACACAATAAAAAATATTTTTGAGAATTCTTTTCCTATTTAGTGTACTTGGCAAGCAATAAAGAATTGTATTCAATATATTTTCTAGAAGTAACTCTGCTGTGCATGGAAATGGAGTTTGGTTTTTTAAAGTTAATGGGGACCAATCGGGTTTTCTAGCCTTTATTAAAACCGTTTTTTGTTTTTATTTATCTGTGCTTAAGCAATTCACTATGGCCTTATGTATCCTAAATTTTAGCTGTTAAAATATAACAACTTTTACAAAAAAATTTCCATCACAGAAATGACAAAATTCAGTTCATAGGTAAGATTATTTCTAAACTGATCCTCATTTCAGGGAAGTTTTTTCCAAAGAGCAGTATTGATACACCTTTTTTATATTCATTTGTCAAATTTTTTTTCACAAGCTTTTCTTTAAGAAGATGGCAACCAGGTGTCAATTGCAAAACAGAATGCTGGGCATAATGGATCCGACCATGCATCATTGGCTGGGCAACTGTAATTTCTTCAGACAGAAGGGAAGTGAATTGATATTTTGCCAAAGGCTACCAAATGTGGCCAAATGCACTAAGTTTTCTCACGAGATATTATGTCAGATCCAATGGAAAGAAATGCAAAAGGAATTTAATAAACAAGCATGTGAGCAGCCTTAATCTAAGGACCCAACCCTAGATTTTTCTCACAACGTCAAAAAGAACATGGAAGTACTTAGACGAGGAAGTAGATGAGATCCAATAATGCATTTCTACAAATAAGCAGCAGGACCTCTACAATGCAACCTCGATGTTATAGAATGCTGTAGGAGAAGCATCATCAACTTCCCTAGTATCTACCGGTATGGTATGGTCCACCCAGTATCCACTAAACCGGCAAAGAACTGATAAACATACCACTCCTTACTGGGTAAAAAGCCTAATATGACTTCAGAGCAGCTAATTCCAAGGTATTTTGGGTCAGCTTAGCTGCACCTAACATCTTAATACCTAATCTGGCTCAAATAGAACATATTTTTCACTGTCCAGGCCCATAGGGCTCGATCACAAGCATCTTCACCTTGAACATGCAGTATGAGGCAGATGGACAGGAGTCTCCTCTCGCATCTCCAATTGAATCTGTGTCATAGGTATAACAACATGAAGCTGGCTTTCTTAGCTGATAAAAACTTTCAGTTAGCTACAAGATCTCTGGATTAAATCCCGCTTTCATCGCTTACCTTAATTGAAAACAAGCTCTCTATCCTTCACCACTTACCTTTATTGGAAACAAGTTGTCTATTCATATTTGGAGAAAGGTGATCTTTCCCAAACCCCGCATTTGATGGAGCCACATGAACTGGGTTTGTCCTTTTAGGACTCCAACCTCTTGACCTATTTCAACCGGTAAGTGCCTTCACTTTATGAAGTTCTTTTAATATTTTTTCCCATTGGTACCAACTAGTATAACATGGTGTATTGATATAGTTTATGCCTCTATGGTACCATACCAGTTTGGAAGGTCCTTGAGACCTTTAATGGTCAATATTTGATATCTCGATGTCACAAATCCCATCCTGACTTGGCTGATGACAGCATAGTATACAACAACATAACATAGTATATGTTACTTGAAAATTTAATAAATACTATGACTAATCTATGGATTATGACAAACTAATGGCCACAGATTCATAAGAGCTCCTCACCGGATCTTTTTCAATAAGATGACGAAGGGTTGACACAGCAAGGTGACGAAGAATAGGCTGTTGACAAGATGCATAAGCATATTACAAATCAAAATGGAAACAAGAAAATTGCAGACATTCTCTAATTTTCTATTAGAAGTACCTGTCTCGAGTAAAGAGTTGGAAGAAGATTCTGAACATGGGAAAACACAGAAGCAGCTTGTGGAGCAAAAAGGACAAGCTGCTGTGTGAATCTGACAGACCTGCAAATATTAATAGCCTATTATGTGCTATACTTGATATTAATAGAACACTGCTTAATACTCACAAAACCCCTCAATATAATCAAACTAAAAGAAACCTTCTCAGATTAAAAGAAATACTTACTCAAGAACAGTTGATGTCTCTTGGCAAGAGCTTATTTCTGCAATAACAGACTGAAAGAAACAAACATGTTACTTTGCAAAAATATGTATACATGCAAGAATAAATGTAAAAAGCAAAGAGCTATATAACCTAAACTAGTCAATTTCTCAGCCCAAGTACTCTATAAGCTAAATCATACACAGGATTAAAAAAAAATCATACACAGTATTGTTGGCAACATGAAAAACTTGAATAAAAAAAATTTAATTCATTAACATGGTAAATGACCTTGCAACGAGAAAAAAATGTACTCCTTGGAGCAAGCTCAGGACCAACAACAGCAACTATAGCATTGATTAGACGCCCTATCTCCTGCCTAAGATCGACCAATCCGCTCTCCTCTGCCATAATTATCTCCATTGCAAGGAAAAGTGTTGCCTGCATAACACAATCAAGGAAGGCAAGTAATGTTATGGCCAATCATTTGTACAAATGTGTGTTAGATGCAATATTACATGTTCAAGTATAATAATGTATTTACTCAACAAATCACCAAGGTTTTTTAATCTCACCCATCAAGTACCAATTCCCACCATATGCATGCCTTTGAAAAAAAAAAGAGTGAAATTAATTGGTTATTAGGGGCTTTCTTCTTGACATGATCTTGGCCAGTGATTTCAATAGGTGCTCGGGCGAGGCAAGGTGAGGCTCGAGCGCCTCACTTCACTTCCAAGCGGCACGCTTCAAAGAGGCGCCGCCTGGGCGCTCGCCCGAGCCCAGGCGCCGAGCGCTTCGGGCGAGCGCCTGGGTTAAACCAGGCGATCGAACCAGCATTTTAGGTCTGGTTCGGTCTCCGGTGCTTTAGTTGATTCAATCGAAGCAACTAAAGCACCGATATCAATTGTCGCTGCCCAACCCTAACCCTGCTCGCATTCACGCTACCGCTGCTGCTGCTCGCTACCGCTATCACCGCTCCCGCTCCCGCTACCGCTGTCGCCGCTCCCGCTGCTGTTGCCATTGTCGCCTCTCTCGCTGTTGCTGCTCACTTTTACTGTTGTCGCTGCACCCTCGGTCTTCCCTAACACTCCTCTTCCTTTTCCAATTTCGAAAATATATTGTTAACAGTATACTAGTAATAGTAATGTATTTGTATTTATTAGATTAATAATATATTATTTTGATTTTAATACTGTTAATTTTTATTTATTTGAAATAATGTTAGGTTTCAGGATAAATGGCAAGTATACAGAGCAACTCAATAGAGTCTCCAATGGCATCAAAAAAATATCCTGCATGGAAGTATAATTATCTGAAGGATCCGAAAGATCCTAATGCAGTGACTTGCATATTCTGCGATAAGACTACTATAGGTTATATTTTTCGTGTAAAACAACATCTAGTAGGAAATTTCAAGAATGCAGCAGCTTGCAAAAAATGTCCACCTGAGGTAAAAGAATAGTTGCTGAGTTATATAAATGAAAAGAAGACACAAAAGAATGAATCTTACGGGAATTTATCAGAAGACAATGTTGAACATCTCAGGGATGAATAAAAAGATTATTCTATGAGTATTAACCTAAGTGGGAAAAAAGTATACGACAAAAAAGGAAAAGAAGTTATGAGTACTAAGAAGGGTAAAAAAGGATCGATGAATATATATGTTTCAAGGATCCCATAAGCAACAAGGGCAAGCAGGAGGCTTAAAATTTAGACAAACAAATATAAGTGATGCTTGTGATAAAGAAATAAGAGGAAGAACAATTCAACACATTACTCGCTTCTTCTATCAGGCTGGTCTTTCCCTTAATACAACTCGTTTAGACAGTTTTAAAAATATGATTGAAGTTATTGGAAGCTATGGTACGGGATTAAAACCACCAAGTTATTATGAGATCCGAGTTGCATTGTTGCAAAAAGAGTTGAATTATACAAATGACTTACTAAAAGGTCATAAAGAATCATGGGCAACACATGGTTGCTCTATTATGTCAGATGTTTGGATTGACAGGAGACAAAAGAGTATAATTAATTTTATGGTTAATTGTTCTTTAGGGACTATGTTTGTAAAGTCAATAGATGTTTCATCTTTTGTAAAATCTGGAGACAAGATATATGATTTATTTAACAACTTCGTGGAAGAAATTAGAGAACAAAATGTCGTTCAAATCATAACCGACAATGGAAGCAACTATGTATTAGCTTGTAATATTCATCCTTTGAATTTTTTAAATTATTTTATCTTCAATTAAATGTGTTAAACTCTTAAGTCTTATCATTTTTGTTATCTTGTGTCTCAGGTAAATTGTTTGAAACAAAAAGACAACACTTATATTGGACTTCATGTGCAGCATATTGTATTGATTTAATGTTGGAGGATATTAAAAAGATCTTAGACATCAAGAAAACCCAAGAAAAGATAATTTTTGTCGTTGGATTTCTTTATAATCATATTGGGGCTTTGAATATGATGAGAGAATTTACAGGGAACAAAGAATTAGTGATATATGGTGTCACCCGATTTGCTACTTCATTCTTGACATTACAGAGCATGCATCGTCAAAAACATAATCTGAGAAACATATTTACCTCTGAGAAATGGGTGACAAGCAAATAGACAAAAGAAGCAAAAAGCAAGAGGGCTACTGATATCATCTTAATGTCATCCTTTTGGAATCATATAGTTTATATATTAAATGTTATGGGCCCTCTTATTCGAGTCCTTTGGTTGGTGGATAATGAAAATAAGTCTGCAATGAGATATATTTATGAGGCTATGGATAGAGCAAAGGAGATGATTAAAAAGTCTTTTAATGAAAATAAAGAAAAATATGAAAAAAAATTTACAATCATTGACAAAAGATGGAATTGTCAACTTCATCGTCCCTTACAAGCAGCAGGATATTATTTGAACCCTGAATTCTTTTATAAGATTAAATCTGTTGGGTTTGATGCAGAAGTTTTGGATGGGTTATATCAGTGCATTGCAAGATTAGTTCCCAGTCTTAAAGTTCAAGATAGATTATTCGTGAATTATCTTTATATAAAAATGTCGAAGGTCTTTTTGGAATTCCAATGGTCGTTCGATCCAAGACAACTACGTCTTCAGGTATTAATAATTTGATATAATTAATTTCATATATATTATGTTACTATGTTATTGCTAATAATAAAATACATTTTGCAACTGAATGGTGGAGTCTATTTGGAAATTCCACCCCGAACTTACAGCAATTTGCTACAAAGTACTTAGTTTGACATGTAGTGCTTCGGGTTGTGAGCGAAACTGGAGTGTCTTTGAGCATGTAAGGATCACTAAATATTTTTATTTTAATTAATTAATTTATTTAGATAGATGTATTAATATATTTTTACATTATATAACATGACAGATTCACTCGAAGAGAAGAAATCGGTTGGAACATCAACGATTGCACGATCTTGTTTACATAAAGTATAATCAAGCTTTGAAGGCTCATCATGATTTGCAAAATAGAATTGATCAAATCTCATTGCAAGATATTGATGATTCAAATGAGTGGTTGGTAGGAGACATGGGTGCTAACTTGCAAGATGCTGAAGACGAGCTTGTATTTGAAGATGATAGATTGACATGGGGAGATGTGGCAAGAGCTTCAAGTGCTGGAGAATTACAAACATATACAAGACATAAAGAATGAAACATATTTTGATGAAAAGGACGGAGTCGAAAGACAAGAGAAAGAGGACGAATTCAATAAAGATGATTTGTATGAAAATGACGATAATATTGATTATGATGAATGACTTTGATGTAAAATTTTATTGTTTTGAATTTTGAAACTTTTTGTTAATGTGACATTGTGATTTTGTATCTTAGATTTTTTTAATTTAATAGCATATTTGTATTTAAAATTTTAAATAATTATATTATATATTTTTATATTTTAGCAACTCGCTTCGCTCGGGCGAGCGCCTAGTGCCTCGGGCATTTTTGGACATTGACACCTTTTGGCGCCTAACGTTTTTTAAATCACTGATCTTGGCAAACATATATGTAAAAACCTGTGTCATTAAATATTGTGGCCTATCCTCAGGATCACGTGATTCAAACAAAGTCCAAACCAAAATCAGCACTAACATTTTGACCAATTCCTTTGACTGTGATCCCATGGCATTTTAACAGATAACAGATGTATAAAGCATCGATCACTTGTATTCTATGATTTGGTAAATCTTTCCATGTTTCGTAATGATTATGATTTCATTAGACATTGAAGCTAACTCAGATGTCATACATGAGATACCTTCCAAACTTAGGTCAAAAGAGGATGAATATGCAATCATATAAAAAATATATTTTATTAAGGAATCTATGAAAATTTCTTAACATGCCAAAATGAGCATGATGGAAGTGCATGCAGGTCATTCACATAGAAAATGATTTGTTTAAATTATGTCTGTCAATCATGAAGGTGGAGGGTTGCATTACATGCAGGTCATTCACATAACACCACTAGTGCCAGTCCCAAGCCTGAATGAAAAAGGTGGACGGTTGCGTTAGGCCACTGACAGACAACCTGCATAAAACTATGCCAAATCTCTTGAACATGGATCATAATCAATTTTAATGCATGGGTCTTGCAAACACACTATAATGATATACAATTTCATTATATCAAGAACCTTGACCCACCAACCAATGACAGACTATATCGATATATAGTTTCATTATATCGAGGACCCCAACCCACCAATCAATGGCTCACGACATTCATTTTGGTGGTAGGACCACTACAACAAATTCAATTAGGGAGACCAGTACCGGTCCTAGATGTATCATTATAAGTCCGAGGATGTACATATCTTCATTTAGAATCTCATTTATTGTTTTATAGTCTTAATTTAGTTTAAATCTGTCTAATTAGATTGTATATAACCAGAAACGGGGATTTTATTGAATTATAGTATTATTTAAATGTTTCTTACAAAATTTGGTTCATACCAATGTATTAGTGTTGATACACACGATGTAAAAACCAATGCAAGCTAGCTGCAAGACCAAGCAAATTGGGGTTGCCAAGGCTACTACATGCCCCATACAAATTACCTATATGAAATATAAACCAAAAACATGGAAAATTTTGAACATTGCAGGAACATATAATCAATGGTTGCACTGTTGCAGAGCTGTGATAGTGCACTGTGAGAGTATACTGGGTGGTATTCTGACTTGTACCTCAATGTTAATTAAAATAAAAATGATGAATGACAAGTTTTCGACAATGAGCTATATGTTTTTAAATGAGTATTTGATATACTAATACTCGGTTGGACCAGTAAATACCACTCCATACCAATTGGTTGGTTCAAAATTTGAGATCTTGACATAGGCAATATGCCAATTTTACTTTAGTGAAGGCGTAAACAAAGGCTTATGGTTGCTGCCCAAGGTAGCATGTGGTGTAGCACGAGAGTATATAGAAATATCATAAGAAAACAAAATTACCATTTGAACCTCTATGTTCATAATTAAATAAAGAAATTAATACTTATTAAATGTTAAAAAAATATTTAATGCAAGAAATTAGCAGCCAGTCCTCTATAATAAAGCGAACTGAATTAGTTGGTGCCACATACAGAAAACCACACCATCATAACAGGCATCATATAAACACTGACTACAAATTTGCAACTAGGTACCTGAATTTGAGGGACATATGATAAACCAGCAGCTTCGATTATCAAAAGAAGAGAATGCAAAGCCCACAACTGCAGGCTAGCATTTGAACTCTTGGCTAACAAAGAAATTGACCTGACAGCTGAGGTCACCAGAGTAGTTAATGCTATTCCTCCTGCACTGCAGACATGTACCGAAGAAATCATCTATCAACTTCAAATTCAACAATAGAAAATTACTTATATATAAAAAGTTATAGCAACAAAACACTTTCCTACATCAACAAAAACAATTCATGTCAGCATTTACAGTACATAAGTGAAAAAGAATAGTTGGAACAATTATCATTTCGCAAATTATTTCCACAATGGATCAAGTTTCAAGGAAGTTCCTTGTAGGTTTCTGGTCCACCAAATAAAGGCTCCAAATTTGAAGGCAATACATTATCAGCATGGCCCCTACACAACATGGACTACCATGCCATCATCACTATGTCACAGTGAAGAATTTCAATGCCATCAGCACCACCTTTTGCTGACTGGATGCTGAAACAGCACATGCTGGTGTCCCGATTGACACTTCACAAATACAATACCAATGCAACTAAGAAAAGGAAAAAATGAAAAGGGAAAAATCAATCTAGAAAGTAGAGTAGAAGGGCAAACAGATACATAAAATCAGCACAAGAGATCCTCTTATTAAGTCTCGTCCCATTGCAAGTTGCAATAACAAATTGAGATGTGGCAAAGACATGGACTCACCAAGGAGCCGTGATGGAATTTTGTTGCAAACCATTCCCTCACCACTACCGAGTTATCCAAACTGAGCAGTGGCTGGAAACAATTTTTTACATAAAAAAACCAAAAAAGATAACTTGATTGGGCAAATGGACATTTCAATGGCCTGCCCCAACATCAGAAACCAGCAGCAGCTAATTTGTAGATCAATTGGCATGACAAGACTGGACAAATCACCACAGATAAGTTTATGTCAAGCATGAAGCAGGAAGTATTGCAAGAAGAAACATCCTAGAATACAGCAGTCAATCAGATTTCATTCATAAAAATCAATCCAACCACAACCAATTATATGACGATTTATTCATAATTCATTTAAACTTAAATACAAACTAAAAAAAGCTAACATGTAATGTGATAATCATGAGTGTATATCAGAGTTAACCGGATCTACAGCGGTGAAAACCTATTCTGAACTAGATACCTTGGCTGCATAAATCTTGTCCACAAGATCTGGACGATCTCTAATCATAGATGATCTAATAATGGTTCAAACACAGTCAGATGGTGACATATGATGCATCATGAACTCATAATCAGAAATCTACTACCAATTATTGCCTTGATGACTGTACTCATCTTTTCCTTGGAATGTACATATAAAAAAGAACCTAAAGATATTCTGATGTTCCAGTTTATGCCTGTGATCAACCATCTGATCTTCAATTGGCTGCTCAGATTCACTATTTTCACCAACTATTTTGCACATTCACTTGATCTTCCCAAATTTATACACAAGTAGAGTCCCCTTAACATTGTTCCTTTTTCTTTTTACTCCATTACAACAAGTCATAAAGTTTGAATTTTTTGGGGTTGGCTACATATATCTTTTACTGTCATTGAGCACTATAGGAAGTTATATCCTTGGTTAAATTAAGAGTATCTAAATATTTTTTTTTATGGTTTGTAGCAAAGTGGTCTCCTTGTACCTCTTCTCATACGACAAATAGTAATTATCTCAACTCTTCTAAACAAAGCATCTATAGATCTTCTTAGCACATATCTATACCATCTTAAACAAGTCTCCCTCACTTATTCCTCTATCAAAACCACACCTAATTCTTCATACTCCACTGAAGAGAAAATTTCTTTTTTTTTCATAATCATCTATAAGAAAAGGGCTGCTAAGTTACATTCAATTATATGATAAAAAAATTTTGCTAAAAGTTTTTAGCTAAACAGCACCATGAATCTTCAATTCCAGTGATGATATGTCATTCTTGAAATGACAGTTACTTTATGTACCCATGCATTCCTTGTTGGATGGGTCTGATAAACAGGTCAACACTATTATACGGTTGAGAACCTACGTTTCCTCCATTAGAAAATGTGTCACTTTGGCTTCTGAATAATCAAGAGCTAAAAAAGGTTGGATTATCAGCTCTAACGTGGAATGATCCAAATTGTCCAAACAATGGAGTTGAAGGCTGAAGGAAGATTTAAAATTCTAAAGGCCAGATTTGATAGGAAACAAAAACACTTAATTAAAAATAAAAACTCAATATATCAATTCTTAATTGAGAAAAAGGTAGAAATTTGCAAGTTTATTCTCCAATACTAGATAAAGAGAATAGCGATAACATAAGATAATGGATGCAATACCATTCAGTTGAATCCCACACTGAAATGGAAAAAGACAAACTAATTTACATGAGCTAAATGGGTGTACAAGTAACTTGCCTTAAATATATTGGGTCAATGTTTCAAGCTCTGCAAGCTCGTAGACCAATTATTCCATCAAACCAAGTCATGTCAAACAGTAACAATGTAGACATAGCATCATGTATAGTGATAAGTCCGAGTAGGATAGAGTAACCGGTGGACGGGTGGATAGGGTTGGAGGCACATCATGGTTTGGAAGTACATTATGGCATGAAGCTGCCACTAGTGGACCTAGGGTTTCATTCTGGACAAAGTTAAGCTTCAATAAGGATGTCAAGCACGTATCTGCAGAGATTGCAATATCTTTAATTTATTTTCACATCAGAATAAAGAAGAGACTTGAATTAATTTATAAGGATTAGATCATTGTACTACCATTAACTTATGGTTAAGTATTTTGGGTATGTGGTTCACGCTATCAAGTTATTGTGTGAGTTATCCCACTGAATCGGATTGAACTGGGTCGTGACAATGGAAGTATAAAAATAAAAAAAATTAGGCTTTCCAGCCAAACAAAACAAACATCCATTCTGTGAAATCAATCCAACTACAACCTATTGTACAATCCTTTATAACAATATTTTATATTCCAGTCTTAACAAGACAAGCCCTAACAAGACAAATCTAACTCATAGGACAAGGCTTTCTTTTCCATACAATAAAAAACCTGACATAATCCAAGCTCCCAAGGACCTCTAGAACCTTTTCAACCAAGAAATGCAATTGCAGCTACTGGACCCACATATTGGTGGTCCATGCCAATACGGGTCCGATCCATTCTAGTATACCAAGACATGGTACAACAGAACATACCACAATATTGTAGGGGAAAGGAAGAGGAGGATAAGAAGAAGGAAGTGGGAGAAGAAAGAAGAGGAAAATTAGGTACAGGTGGAGGAGAGGAGGAAGAAGAAAAGAAAAAAAGGAAACAAACAAGAAGGAAGAAGAGGAGGGCATGAAGGAGGCGAAGCAAAGGGTATGCCAAAGCATGTGGCAACAAGAGGAGTGACACAACTCCTCACAAGGAGTCATGTAATGAGCCGAGCCCTAGCGCGGGTCAAAAGAAGAAAATATACATTGTAGATATAGTGTACCAGATCAGACCACCCAATTTGGACTCCATGTACCGATCGATGATCGAACCAGCAAATATCGGACATACCATACCGAACCAATCAAGTTTGCACTCCATGTTCTAAACTCAGATGCCAATGTGTTAATAACTTCTATAAACAAAATAATACCTGAAAGTAGCTTTGATATGATTGATACCAAGGATTCAAGAACACAAAAAAAAACTATTTCAATGCTTCCTTGCTCTTAATGAAGTAATAATTTCACATGATTGATATCCACTTTGCATTATTGCTATTAGAGAGTTTGTACTACCATTTAATAGGCAGAGCTTGAATGAAATTATTATAGTTAATAATACAATTGTCATGATCCATACTGCTCTAACTCAAGTAACAATTCCATACGATCAATTTCCAATTTTCTGTATTGCTACCAAAGATAATCCACCACCATCTGATAACAAGAGCATTATTAAATCCTTCCATAAATTGTATAAGACCACTATATGACCCATTTAGGTAGCAGACAGATCGACACAAAATGACTAATATGCCCACCATGAACTGAAATTTCACTCGAAACAATATGGTATCGGCAGCATGTACCAGTTCATGGGCTTAGAAAAACCAAGCCTACCTGTTTTACGCAAAATGGTCGATATGTGAGGCATGCCGGTCGGTACACCTCACATAGTGTCACTCCCAATAGTCCAATTGACCATTGGGAGCTGTTTGGGGCTTATAAAATCTCCTCGTACTCCCACTTTCACTCACTCTCATTCACTCTTTCTCAACCTTTCTTGCTAGATCTCTCAATTTAGCGGATTAAATTTGTTTAATCTCCCTAATGGTCAATTAGTGAAGGTTAATTTCGATAAAAAAGGATTCAAGCTCGAGATCTGGTGGAATTTGTCTTCAGTTAAAGGTATTTTCCATATCTTTCTATTTTTCTTTTCTATTTCATTTAATTAGCACGAAGAATATTGGTAAATCTTGATTCATTAGGGACTAACGATTAAGTAATACTTAACTAGAGATATAATGATTAATTAATCAATAGGGACTTATGATTCGATTAGAATGGTAGCTGGTAGATTTCCCTATGTTGCAAAATGCATTAAGATTCCTCTACATATAAGGAAAACCATCCATGCAGAACATTATATGGAAAAAGTTAAAACTCTATAGACATAGACCGAAGAAGAAGCAGAGTATAAGCATGCTGCCATGGCACCGATCTATGATCATTAAGAGGGTAATGGCAAGGGTCAACGTAATGATGTTGACTCAAACCTTGCAGCTAGCGTCCATGCCTTCCTGGAGCAACAACGCAGGCCTATAAGGAAGTTATGAGATGTCGACTAGGCAACTTGTGTAGTATGACCATGGTAGCGGCAAGGACAATACAAGTGACCCAAGTCAATTCAACATAACTCTTTTCACTGCAGGTGATTCATTCAAAATATTTCTTTTCTTTGTAGGTGATTCAAAATCATTGGAAGCAACTTCTTCAATGAAGGATGATGCCACAAAGTGCTTCATCGACGGATTTGGAAAGATAAGGATTTTAATTGAAATTCCTTATAGCCTAGAATTTTCTATTGATTTATGGCTTAGATATACTTTCTACTTTTTTCTTATTAAATTGAAATTTATACACCAACAAATTAGGAGAATTTCCTTTTTTCAAAAAATCCAAAAAAAAGTTTTTTCCAAATTCATTTAATTTTTCAGCTTTTTCTCGAATTGCCAGTCCGTGTCGGTGTACTGACAGGTACATACTGGTTCAGCTAGGGACCGATAAACATGGATAGTATGAGACTAGTAATAATGTTTAATATATGAGGGCGAATTTACATTACAAACTAAATAAAGAGAAATGAAATTTAAAAAGCTCACCTCCGATAAATACAACCCAAAGAAAGAGCAATAGATGCTATATAACATGGATCCGTTGCTGCAACTATCTCTCCAAGAAGAGACCGAGTCTGATCAACAAAAGTGATTATACAATTTAGAACATAAAGAAGGAAAAAAGTACAAGAACTTGGACAAAGTAACCATCTAAATTTGTTAAAGAGCTATTTTAATAGTAGATGTCACATCAAAATCACCAGCCCACTAATGACATGACAAAAAATAAATATTTCAGAATATTCATCTAAAAATTGAACTCACACAAAGTAAATAAAATTGTATAATGCAAAGAAAGTCTGGGTTGAGAAACTATAATAATCAAGAATATCAGAGACATCAGAAGCAAACAAATCAGCGAGTATTAGATATTCAAGATATTATGACATTAAAAAAACAATGATATGATATCAAGAGATTCAAGGGTACAAGATGTTAAGGACAGTAAGAAAACACTACTTAGCTAATGGACCATTAATAACTAGGTGGATCAAAATCACATTGTAGTTTCGTGCTACTAACTTGTGACAATTCAACTTAAAACAGTTCACTACGATATGGCACTTTTTGCTTTTGTTTGTTTTTAATTAACTTCTATTTGAACTGTAAAAAGCTTGAAAGGAACAGTGTCTAGACAATTTGTGTTCATCAAATAATCTCCATCCTCTCACAATTATGTTGTATTCAGATCCATAATAGTTAAATTTAAAAGCTACAATTTTACAATAGTGTGATGCACAAATCTAAAGATATTCATGGAATTGGGAAAGCAAGAAAGTTGAACAGATGTGTGTGAGAAGACCAAAGGTTCAATGATCCCAGACGTTTAAGAACTTTATGATCACTGCCAGTGCCATGTGATAACTATTTAAGAAATTCAATAAATCAGAAAAACATGATCTTTCTACCATGTAACAGCTGCCTATCATAATGTAACTAGAGAAGGAAAGGTATCACAAGACTGAGGACACATATATAACAGGGAATTATGCAGCACTTGATAATAGAATTCACAAATCTCAATCTACACTGTCTTTTGCCTCAATCTAGACTTTCAATAAAATAACCACTCAGATACCAGTAAACAGATAAGCATAAAAATGTCACATTTGACTTTTGCAGAACCATGTAATGCAAAAGACTGACTCCACAACATTTCATTTGATATAAATGCATCTTTACAAGATGTAGATCATGTTTTCCATATAACATGACTTGACCAAAAAGCATACTTGTCCAACTAATACATTGTTACATGCACAAGAAATGTATACAGTTGTTTGTCAAAACGGATATACATATAGAGTCAATGCATGTGTAAGTGTACCATCTTAAAGATAGTTTTCAAAATGAGGCTGGGAAGGATGCTTTTAGTTTTGTGCTTAGAAATGCTGCTGGTAATCCAGTTTTTGCTTCTTGCAGTTGCAGGTTCATGAAGCACCAAAGCACACTCTATTATAAGGTTCAGGCTACTATGAGTTGCAAGGCCACTGCTAAGAGTTCACTGCACCCAGATTGAATCTGACTTAGAGCAACTAATTCGTATACTGAAACACAAAGTGGCAACTCCTTGGGCTGTGGTGAATGTAATTAAAGTCATTTTTACCTTGCTGAGGTTCTTTTACGCCTATTTTATTAAGCATGTACATAGAGAAGGCAATAGGGTAGCCAATTGGTTAGCCAACTATGCTACTCTCTACGTGTAATTATTTTAGAAGAGGGAAATGGCCCTCTAAATCTTCCTGTTTTTTAATATCCTCTGATAGAAGGGGGATACCTGTGAACACGCTTTACAAAGTAACATATTTTAATGTTTTCTTGGAAAAAAAGATGCTTTTCAATATTTAGTGTAAAGCATTCAACTGACTTAATCCCAGTTTGGTAGTAACTTGAAAGCTTTGACAGAGACTGTTAAGAATATAGGTAATATAAAGTTGAACCTTTGTAGAAAATTATACAATAGTCTGGCTTTACCTGGACAGAACGAGAATTGTTGATAATACAATAATATGGTTTTACCTGGACAAAATGACTTAATCTTATAATAGCATCTTATATGTCAAACGCACCAGCTTTGCAGTAAAGATGTCATTTCCAAGGCGAGCCAGTAAACCAAGACCCTCACATGATGCTCTTCGTTGGGCTGGAAAATTTTCACTTTCTGCAAGAATACCCTGTAGATTTACAGGTATGAATATATCAAACAAAGAACCAAACTAGCCGTCTCCAGGAGATATTACAGAAAATTACAATGATTTGCACCTGGAAGATGGACTGAATGGTGCTTAAAACCTCAACTGTCAATGTCTGGTTTCGTAAAGCAAGCAGGGACTGCACACAAGGATAATCTATCACATGGACATCAGAAACAATGCAATCCTTCTAATATATTAGTCTATGAAAATCTAAAGATGTTAATTGACACCTTTAACCCTGCTAGCATGCCTACGCATGCATTTGTTACACTGGCCACATGCCATGGTTGCTTCTTGCTGTTCTTTATACATTGATCAACTTTGTTAAGAAGCATTAATTTCCCACCATTATCCTTGAGGTGAGGAACAATAAGAAAAACAAATATTAAATATTAATATTACAAAATATCATATCCATGAAATATGACCATTGTAATTGCGTACCTGCGTAGCGAACATGGTCCCAAAGCACAATAGCATTTGATTAACCAACATTTTGCTGATCGACTCAGACTAAAATAAAACATCACAAATCACAATTAATTAGCCAAATCAAATAGAGACATTTCAACATAATACAAAGGTAAAGAATAAAAAGACTTCCATATTTGCATAAAATGAATCTGCATCATTGAGAGAAAGCAATAAGTGAAAGGTCTACATAGGAATTTCATTTATGTAGCAAGTGCCATGAGCAGGGAACAAAGAAGGATAAAACTTTTGGTAGAGAAGTCATTATTTGTAACCAATGCATTTTCCTTTTATCTACTTGTATTTCTGTTACATATAGTTCAACAATAAAAGCAATGTAATTCTACAGAAAAGATTAAACGCAGACTGATTAGCAATGAACCAACATGTGAGGCTATTACCCAAGGAAAGATGCAAATGTGTTACAGATAGTTCAACAATAAAAGAAATGTAATTCTACAGAAAAGATTAAACACAGACTAATTAGCAATGAACCAACATGTGAGGGTATTACCCGAGGAAAGATGCAAATGTCGTCATCCCATACACAAGGCATTAGTCCATCTTTGCCACCATCAAAAGCTCGAAGCTCATCTTCATACCAATCACTGAGCATTAACAATAAATAAGGTAATTAAATTTGCTTCAGGTGAATAACAAAAAAAACTGTATCTAAACAGGGTTTGGCAAGATATATAAATAAGATTAAGCAAATCTTAAGCAGTGTGACAAGAATTATATAAAATGTCAGTCATATCAAGAATATTACAGTATGCCGATAAAGAGTGCATGCAGTAAAATGAAAGAAGTACCTCCCAGGTACCCAAGGGCCTAAGCAAGCATCCTTCTTATCTAACAAGGTTCTCAAGCTCGAGCTTTCTTCATATCCCGATGGATCACTTTTTATGCAAGTCACCGCAAAAATTTAACAAAGCCAGTTTAACAAGTAATGAAATGCATATCAATATCAGTACAAAGATTGCTCAAAACACTCAACAAAACAACTTCCACGATACAAAATAGCAACTCACTTTAACTTACCTGAATGGAGAAGTGCATATTTCGATGATTTGCTGATGATCAGTTTCATATGCCATAGGATTTGGAATAGACTGATAAGCCATCAATGTTCTGGCAGTGAAGAGGGCCAAAGCAGACTTCATATTTGGTAATTGCTTTGAGGAAAAGAATGAAATATAGAACAAAGCTCTGCAAAATTTTAACATACAGAATTTAGAACAAGCAAGCTGAGAAGAAGAGCAGTACCAACAAAAAAAGGAGGGAAAGATGAATCTACCCGCTGAGGTATGCCAATACGGGTTGAAGAAGAACTCCATTAATAGCTGCTACTGTTGGACAAACAAAGCTTCTTATAAAGGCAGTTAGTGCCTCAACTGCAGCCGACAAGACACTAGAAGAATAGAGAAGTTGAAATGTAAAAACTAATAATATACCAAAAGATAGATGTTCTTGCAAATTAGTTGAGAATCCATATGAAATAATATACATGCACCATTTTCCATATACAAGCACATCACAGATCCCTAATTTAGCCCATTGTTGGGCTCAACTCAATGCAAAAGTGATGCTTCAACCCAAGGATTGAAATATCGTACAATACTGGAGTTTCGACATTCGCTTGATATGGTATAGTACTGTATACCGAGAAGTACACCGTTCGGTATATATATAATAAAATAAAAATTCGGCGACGTCGCCTCTCTCTTCTCCCCAAGCAGGGCAACATCGTAGAAAAACGAGGCGACGTCGCCTCGGCAATATCACCGATATATATATATATAAGTAAAAAATATCTTATATATATTTATATATAAATATATATATTTATATATATAATATTTTTTTATATATAAATATTTTTATAAAAGGCCTCGGCGACATCGCCCCACGTGGGAGAAGGGAAAGGCGACGTTGTCTTTTATAATATATATATATATATATATATATATATATATATATATATATATATATATATATATATATATACCGCACGGTAACGGGCGGTCCGTGTACTGATCTACTGGCGGACCGATATGTATCGCCCGGTAACGGGCGGTCCGTGTACCGATCTGCTAACGGATCGATATGTACCGCCGGATCGATATGTACCGCCCGTACCGGGCGGTATTATTCAAAATTGAAGACCTTTCTTCAATCCATGATTGATGATGTAGACCTCTTTTCAGTGACCAAAGAAGATAATGAGGTACAGGAATATAATCATATATTTCTTTCTTTCCTTTGGATTCTCCCATTTCTAGTTTTCTTCATTTTTCCTCTTTGTCCTTCTTGAAGCCCCCATGAAATATCTGTGTCAAAATTTTGACAAATCATATAGTAATTACAGCATGTAAGTCAACCATCTAACAGTGTGACAGAAGGCACAGACGAAGGAGTTTGTCGGTCTTTTTTTTTGTGCAGTAAGTGGTGAAGGATTTGATTCTAGGTGATGATCAGACAAAGTCCTTATGACTAAACTATCTGGCATCCTCAAAAACATATAGATTGTGGCTTCGAACCCTCAACCTCGGGCAAGTAGGCTTGGTATACCTCTACCGGATCAATGTCTTAGGTGTGAATATTTATCAGGTCATACACTTAACCTTTGAAAAGTATATTTTGGCACATTGTCACCAAACCAATGTTTAAGATATATAATTTGACAAACGAGTTCTTGAGCTTACAATCTTTGGTAAGTGGACTAGCATATCACTACTAGACCAGTGTCTTAAATGTAAAAACTTCTTGAATCCTCAACCTTTAGTAAGTGGATATGATACTATTCCAATATTTCAAGTTTAAAAATTTATCAAATGAGGTTTTAAATCTTCAACCTTTTACACAATTTGACATACAATCCAAAATGGTATGAAACAGTTCTGATACTGATCGGTAATGATCAGATTTCGATCGTACTGGTCAGCATTTGGGGCAAATCATGTCCCAATGAGACCGGCTGTATTGAGTCAATTAGCACTTAAGACCAATGGTGACTAAGCTGTACAAAAATAACAAGATAAACTAGTCTAGCACAAATGAGGCTGATTATCTTACAAGTCTTTAAAAAATCTAAATATACTTTCATCAGATACTTAAACTATTACAGATACAAATTTTAGCTAGACAAATAGCAAATAAGGATTGAGCTGTGTCAGCATTTAATGTTCGATGTCTATCTAAAGTTCTAAACCATTTTCAATCATCATATTTTGCAGAGTTTCCAAATTCTAGTTACAAAATAAGGACAGAAGCAAAATTACTCTAAAATGGACACAGTAATATTGCAAGGATGAAAATAGAAGAACCATCAGAATGTTAATTCAGTCTTACTATAGTTCTGCTGCCAAATCTTGTGCCTGCCTAAAGTAGGATTCAGGATTTCCAGCAAAAGGACCAGCCCAAAGTAGAAGAACGTCAAAAACTTGGTCTTCCAGTTCCTGTATATCATGATAAAGCTGAAGGTAGCACAAGCAAAACGTCTGTCAAACTCAGAAGTCAACTTTCTAAAAGCATCACACATACCTCTTTTGGCATATTTGCTACAAGAGAAGCCAAAAGTAACCAGCCAGCTTCTTTCTCCACAATAGCAGCAAGAGGATTACGACTGAATGAAGAAAGCATCTTTTTGGAAACTTCAAAGACAGATTGGGGCAGCCTAGGCATAGCATATTGCAATTCTTATTGGTCAAAATGTAGACAGTTGAGCTACTCATGTTTAATACTGAAGATTTAGTTTCAAATACCAAACTATAAATGTTACAAAAAAGAATAAACAAATGCTGAAAACAAATTTAATAAAAATGATACTACACTTCTCAAATCGTAACAAGAAGAAAAAAAATAGTCATAATTTTAAAAGGTACCAAACAAACATGAATCTAGGAATTTGACAGTGGCCCATGGGTGCCGAAGGAAAAGACGCCTAATTTTGAGCAATATGTTATGACAATCATAACAAGTCATATGTCCCCCAACCATTTGAGGTAAACTAAGATCTTTCTCTCCATTGAGTTCTATGTCATCTGTGGCATTACCCCTAGTTAAATTAAAAGCAATCAAATCTCTTTTTGCACACCAATCAGCCAAGAGACCGATATGCATGGTCCACCTATGGACCAACCAACAATTCATGTTTCTAGCAAAATTTTCTTATTGTTTTCCTCCACTTCTCCTTGAACCATTAATCTTAATTGACTCAACTAAGACATTTCAAGTCTTGGTTGTACCGGCCAACTAAGACAATTTTTAATTGTTTGGTGCCAAACAAGATTACTTCTTGGTAAACTTGCTCCTGGGCTTACCAGAAAATTTCAAGGATCAACTTTGCCGCATGTTTGTTCGTCAAAGGAACTTGATTACCACTAATGGCTGATTAGAAACTTTAATAACAAGTGTGAGAAAGAGTGAGACTGAGAAAGTAAATGATTGAAAGCGCCAAAAGAGGCCCCAAGCAATTTGACCCACCATTGGGGTCAAACTTGATTGATTTAGCACAACATGATTAAATTCAAGTTGATACTGACTATTGGGGTCAAATTTGACCCAATTTGGCTTGGTATTGACCAAATTCCAATCGATACCGACCTGTACCAACCAATACAGCATAAGATTCAACCATATCAGTTGATACATCACCTGTACCGGTCGATATCTCTCAAAATAGGGTGGTCCACTGGTCTACCCAAACAAGATGGTCCACACAAGGAATGACATCTCGATTTGACTAGTGGTGTCGATCAATGGTTGGACCTCTACGTAACAATCAGCACCGGCGTACCATTTGTTAGTACATCGATATGTACCAACAAACCCAAAAAACCATCAAAAATGCCTGAAAATGTTTAGAAAATAAAGAAAATCCTATTTTAATCCCTTTAACTAAAATTTAATACAATTTAAATTAGATTTCAATAAGAATATAGTCAAAATAACATTTAGATAGCGAATTTATCTTTTTATTATGTTGAGTAGCAACTTTGCAGCATGTTCTTTTTTTTCAACAATGTTGAATCATCTACGAAGATACAAACAATATTAGATTACGTATCAGACATATAGGCTTGATCTTCCACCAAATGATAAGTTTAAACATTTTAGTTCCTCCAATTGAAGCTCTAAGGCTAGAATCACCAATTAGGAAGGCCAATTAAGAAAGAGTATACGAAAGAGTGAGAAAGAGGGGAAAACTTATGTGAGAGGGAGTGAAAGAGGGGAGTGAGGAAGCTTTTAAACCATTGAACCAGGCCAAAATTGGGGTCCCTAGGACAAATTCTAGCCCTTGATGTGTCTCGGTCAAGATCTGGCCATTACCAAATGAAACATGTTGATAACAGTCATGTTTCGGCTATTTCGTCCATTTTCTTGGGTGTACCAAGCGGTACACCCGTGTTCTGCCCGATACGAGGCAGCCTGTGTCGATCGCTAGCTACACTGGTACGTAATGCATAAACCATACCATATCATGTGACATTGCAATCCTTAGGTCCACGTATCGATCAGCAGGTGGACCGGTACATATTGCCGACTTCATACCATTTCAAGCTGTACATCAAATAATGGTCCTACATGGTGGGAGTCTTATAGAACCAACACAAACCATTAGCTTAACAAACTAATTTTTGCTAGAACCCTTATTTTTAGGGAAAGCAAACATAAAAAGCGAATGACAACTACAATGTAGATCACAAAATTCCAAAATACAGTCACTTGCAATGTGCCAATATATAAAGATATGCCTTGTGTCATAAATATAAGAAAGACTTTCTTGCAACATGACAAACGCAACACATATTATAGAGCTACTTTCAGGACCACACACTAACCTTGCAGGATAACCGAGAAGTAACTTAGGCGAGATAGAAACAAGTGCTGCTAGAAGTGTGGCTTGCCCATGCAAAGAGTTGAGCTCAAGATTCAAATTTGTCCCCTACTTAAAAAACAGATTCATGAGTATGACTTCTAACATTCCAGATCAAGAAACAGCATTGGCGAACATCAATATCAAGAAAATGAAAATAACCCACAAGAAAACCTTTACAGAAAGTTATGAACAGGTTTGAGTACAACAAAAGTGGAGTATCACATAAAAAAGTTAGTATTTTTCATTTAACCTGATCAAGGAACCAGCCATCAATTGCAGCACTAAGCAAAACAAGTAACCAAGGGAGACTAGAGAAATCAAAGAACAATCGACTATGCATAAAACCACCAAGGGTTTATGAGTACAGAAAAGAGCTGGTTGATTAAAAAAGCATCAAAAGGGTACAAGTGCAGAAGGTCACTAGTTAGTAGCTAGATAAACCATCTTAGCTGCACTTTGAGAATATGCAGCCTGGCAGGAAGCCACCAATTTAGCTGAACTCAGAAAGAATCTAGCACCCCTCTTTACTCATGTACCAGAATCTGCTGCTGTAGTCTGTACAAACACAGAGGTATGAGAGGAACCACTCCTAACGCTGGATCAAGAGATCTGCAGACCATTGAGAGGCTACCGTATTTAACTCTTATTATTGGCTGACCAACTCTTCACTTACCCTTTGCTGTTCTTGAGACTTGGGAAAGAAAGTAGTACTCATGAATTACCAATCAGGAGAATCAATGAATAGGAACATAGAATCAATTCCATTTTTTGTAGAGGGTATCAATTCCTAATCTGCTCTAGTTCCTGGTATTACACTCACTCAATGTCCTTGCAACTGCCATTCTTTCTCAATTGAAAAAATGACAAAGTCAAAGAAGGTGGAGCAGCTACCATTAAGAGACCAAGTCCATCCTGTGTAAGTTGCATGTTTTAAACACGGCAACAACACTCGAGACCCGATACAACACTATATTACAACTTCACTTCGTATGCATCAAGTAACCTCACTGAATTTTGGATCTCCACCATTGGGATTTTATAAAATATCACATTAGTAGCATGATGTTTGTATGAGACAACATTAGTCAAGGTCCCTAGCTACTCAATAATTCCAATATAATATGGTCTCTCATCCAAATTGGAAGTCATCACAACATTGATTGGATGCATTTTATAGAGAACCAACAGGTAGAACAATCTTCACTCCTATGTGGGAGACTTAATCTAGTCAACTCATGTTCAACCAACCTCCATATTTATCACATTATATCTTCCTAATCCCTAATTTTGATAGGTCTTCTCCTAAATGAACCAAAAAGAAACTGCAAAATTATTATGTTTCACAAATTGAGGCAGACCAAACATATTTATTAAGAGCAAGGATCATAATTTCGTACCGTATCAGAGTTTCGAACGTAGCTCGATACGGTACAGAGTACCAAGCGGTACACCAAGGTGTACCGCTCGGTGTGTGTGTGTGTGTGTGTGTGTGTGTGTGTGTGTGTGTGTATAAGTAAAAGAAAAAAAAAGGGCTTGTCTGCTCGTGTGGGGAGAAGAAAATGTCACCGCCTCATTTCTTCTACTACATTGGGAGAAGAAACGTCACCATGACGAGGCGACGTTTTCTCTCCCCGTGACGTTTCTTCTCCCCATGCGGATGAGGAGAAGTCGCCGACGACGTCGAGGCCTCGTCACCTCATACGAGGAGGAGGCGACATCTCATCTGCGATGTCCGGCGAGGGAGGGCGACGGCGGATTGGGATCATCGAGGGAGAATGGCATCGAATCTCCAAGTTCTCCCTTTTCTTCTCCCTCTTCTTTCTTCTCCCTCGATTCTCCCTCGGCTAATGCCATATAGTAGCGGGCGACGACAGTCGAAATCGACCGTCACCAACCGATTTAGGGTGGTAACGGGGCAGAAGCAGCCCCAATCGACGGTACGGTAGCGGACAGTCCGCGTACCGGTTTGCTGGCGAACCAACACGTACTGCCCGGTACGGGCAATATTATTCGAAATTAAAATCCTTGATTAAGAGTAAAGATCTATAGCAAAAAATATTATCAATCTTCAAGAATTTAATCAAGCACTATTTGAAAAGCACTAGTGGAAGTTGTCGGACCAATTGGACACTTAGAACGTGGGACAGACTAGAAAAGAACTAAACTCCTTTTGGTACCCTCATCTCAACGGAGAGATGAACATAGGTAGATTGACATTTGGTTGGTGCAATCACATGCCATCAAGAAATTTTACCATGACTTTCAACTTCAGTAGCAATCCTAATGCTTTTAACCATGATTATTATTCTTACAAAAATACTGTTTAACCAACATCTGATAAATAATACTAATACACCATCATATTGTATCATATTAGCACCATGTAAACAGGTGAGAGGAGCATGACGCAAGGAAAGCCTGTCCGTGAGTCACGAAGAGAGCTCACTGCTTTAAAACAATAATAATAATAAATCAGATCAGACTGTCCGAAAAGGGCGGTTCACATCCTGATTCACACCTGCTTCAGTACATACCATAAGTACTGGTCAGGCGGAAACCTTGAACCAAGCTTTTGATACTGATAGAATCACTTAGAGAAGAATCCAATGGAGCTTTGCATCTCCTTTTTTATAGCTTCTTGACTTAGAAAGCATAATGCCTCTATGCTTATGTTTCCTGAAAACTTCTACCCCTCAAAGATCATGTTCATTGGGCTGCCTTAATAGACATCACACTGAGGACATCCCCACAAAAAATAGATGGCTTACAATGATAAACTATATTTACTAATCCATTGTTCTTCCAAACAATCATCCACCTGCTACTGTTTTCCCCTTCTTGTTTATAAAATTTCTGTTCGTGTACTGGGCATCTTAGAAAGGCTTTGCAACATAGAAGGCATGATAGGGTTTTCACTCCATGACGGAAAGAACATAACTGCCTCTTCTCTGCTCTAGCTTACCAGCTTCATCTTCAGTTCCATCAACCCCAAAACAGGTGCTCTAAAAGTCGTGGATCCTCACCTTTGGGGCTTCATACCAAGAAGGCTCCGATTTCCTTATTCTCCTTACAGAATGATGATTAATTTATAGACAGTAAGGTCACCTAATTTGCTACCTCACTTCTATTCCATTTTTTGTTTCTTTTTAAAACTATACTCTACTAAAAAGAAAATGCTTCTTTTTGCACACATAATTTATTTTATTAATCAAACAAAGCTTAGTAGGCTTGCCTAACATTTATTAATAAGACTATCTTTGTAGTCAACCCTCCAAATTTCACATTTTCTAGGAGACCATGACAATAATTATAATTGCTACACTTGTTTCAGTTACTAATTTACTATCAACTAGCATAAAGAGAATATAACATTTAGGTGATCTTTATGTTTAATTTCTTTAGTTCATTATTGATTATCAAGTTAACTATAAACGGTAAGAGCATAGAATCGATAACTGTCAATCTAGAATCATGAATACAAATCAGAGACATTTCTTACAAAGCCACTATCAGTTGTAGTTGTAATAATATTTTTTATTCATTTCTTTCAGAAAACCAAACTTAGATAACCTAGACATAACAGAAATGCATTTACAAAGTTGAGGCATTAAGCATAAAGTAAAATGCTTATTTCTAGGACACAAAAAAGTAGTAATTAATTGTTGACATAGACAGAATTATATGACACATTAGGAAAGAGTAAATGAAGAATAAGAATATAAGAAAATACCCCAAACTCACTAACTAGCATCACCTTTTCCAAAGATCCACTTTCTCTCAGAGCATGTAATGTTGTCACACCATATGATATTAATCCACCAACACAAGAGGGATCCACCTTTGCCAATGCACGCAATGTCAATGCAGCTTCAATGCGCACCTGCAAAAAAAAGATCTGAGCCTCTGTACCATAGTATCTATAAAAAGTATAAAAAATAACAGAAAACAACATAATCAGAGCTAAGCTAAAGGCTTATTACTGGAGATACCAACTGTTAATGCTAGCGTTCAGCTAATTAAAGATCTCAATAGACGGAACCAATTTCATGTAGGGTTATTGTAAACATAATCCATGTTTCAGGACTATTTCTAGCATATTTAACTTATCAAATCATAGGCTTGAATTACCTATCAGTTGGTCATCAGTTTGGGGCCTGGTTCTAGCATCGTGATAAAACATAACAAATAATCATTATTTTATATGTCATTGACCATTTCAATAGCTTTTAACTAGGAAATAGAGTTCAGACTTTTTTGCTGTCAATTTTGATCAGTTCCAATTAAGATTCCAAACAAAAAAAGGATAGTTTGCCCCATAATGAGTTTACTTCACTACAAAATGATCTGATGCTATCAGAACCACCAGGCTGCCTGCCATTGATGTATGGTGCCTTCTTGTTATGGCGTTGTATAGATAACCAATAATTTCTAGAAACAGTTAAGTAGAGAAGAACAAGATAAAAAGAGGAATTTTTTTCTATAACATGTTTTTGATGCAACAGTGGCATTAGTTTTCTTGGCAGCAGTTACCACAGAATTAATCCAGACAAATTTTGCATGTCTAACTTTAAAGTTTTAAACATAATAAGATCTTAAAACCACAACAATTGGTTGAGTAATAAGATCTTCTTTTGGCATGAACCACCAATTATCAGCACTATTAGCCAGTTCATAAAATTCACTGTTCACTTAAGAGATTCCTACACAATACGCAAAACTGGCTATCTTAAACTGACATACTGACAGTTGCTTTCCTCTTTATCACTGGTAGAGGACATCCAGATGCAAACAATTAGAATTTTTATGTATTTGGAATCCTGAAATGGTAAACACATTTCCCTATGTGAGGATAGGAGGATAAGTCTTCCATACATCAGATTTTTTATATCCACTTGTTCTCTCACCCCAAAAAAATGTGTCGCTGATATAATGACAGTTACACATTGATACATACTTACTTTTCAGAGAACACTTTTAAGTTTGCATTTAATGGATCAAACAAATAGAATATAGAAGGATCCTAAACACGTAAATTAATTTAGAAATAACATGAAAAAATTTCTCCCTTTGCAACCCATTATGCAAAGAGCTGGTATTATCACAATTTTTTTGTTAACAGAACTTGGAGCTTATGTCCCATTCTCTATGGCTAGCCTTTTCTTCGGTAGCAGCTTGTGGATTTGACATGGTCATATAAGTAGAAAGAAACTAGAGTGCAACTGAACAATAATCCAGTGCAGTTCCTGGATCAGAACTAAAATTTTGCCTTTCAATTCATCATGCAAATTACTAGACAGAAGCTTTAGCTTAGGGTATAATCGAATTAAACCAGACAAGGGACTGAACACATCAGTTATTGTATGATTTTAAACATGGATTTCTAAGAACTGCCAAGATAGACCAATATATGTTGCAAGCATGCCGAGTTAAGATTCAGGTAAATTGTGGTGAGGGAATTAAATGAACATTTTCTGCTTAACTGGTGAATTAATCTCCAAGCCTTTACCAACTTATCTTCACTCTTACTGTTTCTGGCAGATAATTGTGGTTATCATGTCATTTCTCATTCATCCCCTGCTATGCCAGTGTTGAATAGCAATAGAAAACAATTGTGTACTAAGAGACAAGGTGCTGAAAGTCAAATGAGGTAGTGAATATAATAGGATAGTTTTTATCTATACAAGGTAAAAATAGCTAATTTCAAAAGAGACGGTCGACTCAAAATCGCAATAGATGGTGAAAATAGCTAAGATCATTGGCTTCGGTCAAGTCCTTTCACTTCACCAGACCTCAAAGGAAAACCATACTACATTATAATAAGCAACAGTATCATTTTCCTCATCATAGTCATGCCCATCAAACTGCTAGCATGGCAGGTCATGTTCAAAACCCACAAAATGAAAAAGCATCCCATGCTAGTGCAGCTGTGCTGCTCATTCAATATTGATACTCTTATGACTTATCATCATGGCACCAGCATGATACAATCTGATATACAAGAAAACACCAGCACGATAGCACCAACAACATTGTATACTAGGAAATGGTTGGTAAACTAGAAAAAACTTTGGTTGATGTACTCACAGATATATATCATTCTGGTGGGAAACAATGCAATTGCTAAGAGAAGTATCCCTTTGAGACATTTTTTATAGTCTTGAAAATTGAAAAGTATACATGTCCTAAGAAATGGTTAAAAAATCCTATGTTAAAAAAAAATTAATTTTTCATTACAAGTAGACAACTTGTTCCTCAGAAGTAGTTTATACTTTATATGGCATACCGAAGCTTCAAATCCAATTTACAGAAGATTGTTAGAGTTAGAAATTGAATTGCAAAATAAAGTAACCAACCAACTCCTGGTAAACCATAAGGTGTCTTGCAAATTATAACTTTCAAGTGGGGCCTGGATCTTCAAAAATAGAAGATTACATATACTCAAGAAAAATAAATACTATAGGAGGATCTTCTAAGGAAACCTACAAACCAGCAATTACTATAGCTTTGCTTAGCTGAGCACCACATCTGATGACCAGAGCTGGTATCATCATTGTGTTTTATACAAGAGTTTGAGATAAGGTATTCATTGGGACATGTTGTCCAACTGCAGTTGAATTTATGTCTTAGCGTTGTTAGCTCACCAAAGGGCATCTATCAAACCAAGATTTTAACTACCAATCAGAACACTCCAAAGAAAGATTTCAAATACTGGATGGACCAGTTTGTTCTGACCAATATCTACCTATTTAACCAACAACAGTCAGCATTTTTTATTATTTTTACATTGATACTAGTGGTACAGGTTAGTATGTAGGTCCATATACTAGTATCAGACTGATCCACTCGAGTTACTGAAATCAGTATTGGACTGAGATTTAAATCCTTATACCAAACTATATAGACATCATCTAGTAGCCATCAAGATCTCACTAATGTGGAGTTTAAACACAATAATTAGCTTAATTTATTTCTCTTTTTAGTTTCGGTAAGATCCAAATAGCCTAGATATGGGGTTATCCATATCAGTTCCAACTTGATCTAAACCGAATTTGACAAATTCTTATTAGAATATGTTAATTAAGGTTTGAAGCATGCTTGTTTTCATAGTGCTTAGATTCCAACTCTTTTGCCTTTGCTTTCACAGTGCTTTCTGGCACAGTTAGCATGCCTCTTTGGTGGTTGACGCAGGTAAACGATTATTTAATCACCTGTCAGAACCTCCAGTGTATATATACATGGGCATGTGTCAAAACCTTTGTAGCACACTATGTTTTGGCCCACACCAATCCATGTCAATCTTGGCACCAAAATCCTTGGACCTTGGTGAATCACTATGTTTTCATTAATTTGTTTATGGTTCAATAACTTACATCCATTTGATAGTTGTATATTTATCTGATGAAATGGTTCACCATAAGATCACAGTTGCAAGCTCTCATAAAATAGGACTGCATTTATTTCTCATTTCATCCACAATTGGTGTAAGGAAAAGATTTAATAATTTGTTTAATTCAAAATTTAGAAGCTTGAAGTTACAAGTTTTCAGCATCAAATCTCATGTATCTATAACACAAAAATAAAATGCAGCAAGCTTATCACCAGGACTTGACCAGATTGTTCAGACCTTATTTAACAAAAGATATGAAAGTTAACTACAACTTATCACTTAGAGATCGCCATATCTCTTTGAGTTGGAACACCTGGCATATATATAAGTCAAAAGTATCAACTTAGATAAGTCAGGACAAAGCTCGTGCCCATAAGCCTCGTAAAAAGCTTACATGTGATGAGGAATCGCATAAGGCTCCCACAACTGTGTTATCAAGGATGTTTTTGAATTCAACTGGAACCTGCACATGTCAAAACAAAGATAGAATCAACATAATGAATCACAAACAAAAAGGGCTATGACACTATTGACATGAATCCATTAAGTTTTGCAAGAAATCATTGTTTGAAGCATTTAATTAACTGCAAATATGCTGGACAGCTAATGTCACATGCGGTATGATTTAAGTGCTATAAATCAACATTACTATCCATGGTGCAACCATCGATCTCATTTTAAACCTCCAAAGTAGGTGCAAGTACCAGAAAAAAAACCGTAGGAAAGAAGGGGGATTGCCCTGGAAACTAAAAGACAAGTTTTTGTGGGAAACAATGCAATTGCCCCAGAAGCTATTGTATGCATATAAAAGCATTTACCAGATTGTGTGCACCATACAGTAGTGACCAAGATTCAATAAAAGATGGTACACACCCAACACTATATCATTAGGCAAATAACACAGCAAAAGGTGTCGTAGACATAAGTTGGACTATCAGATACAAGGTGTCATAAACCTACAATGTATTCAATGAATATCAGTCAGTACCATTGCTAATAAGGCTGTACCAAAGTGAGGCAAGTTACCATATATGTAACTGAGTGATGCCCAAAGTAGCAGGCCAAACTTTTTTTTCATATTTTCTTCTGTTCAACTCTTCCCTCTAGCTTCTTCCATATTAAACACCATCTTTTTTTGCTGATGTACTCTTCCATCTTTATATATGTGTAAATAAGAAACAATCCCAACTTGACATGAGAAAGCAACATCAACTGGAACCAAACACAGAGGATAGTCAACTAGTTCCAAGCAGCTGTCCTTATTTCCAGCAGGGTCCACGAATGATGTCTAATTAAATGATGATGTGGCAGCCATACAGATGCCTAATCAGCAACATTTGGACCCAAAGATGATGTTGACCAAAGATAGCAGCTCGGCACTTGGTTTGTAAAATTGATTTTCTGAAGGTGATTAGAAAAATCAGTCGTTAAATGGTAGGAAGGAGTCTCAAGCCTATTCCTAACTCATCAAGGACTACTCAGATAAGGAATCTATTCCAAGTCAAGCTGGGAATGAAATTATTCCAGGGCAAGCTTAAAGCTTTCTAATTCTAGAAGCCGGGAATTAGAAAGATTTCAAGAGCTTAAAGCAACTAGAATTAGTCATAAGGAGCTGAACCGATTAGGAGAAACTATCACTATTCCAATCAGGAAAGGAGGTGGTGATACTGTAGCACTGTTGCAGCATGGAAATAATATGCTATTCCTGCTATATCTCTTAAAGAATCATAGACCAGGTAGATTCCCATTTAGATTAGGAGTTTTTGGATAAATAATAGCCCTGTAAATATAGATGATTGCATGTGTTTGAAGCCTATTCCTGTCTTTGTTATCCTTCTTTCATAACATAAAATTTTTAGTTATAGGACTTTCAAACAAGCTTGGGGCTTCTCCGCCTCGAATGGAAGAAGCACAAATTAGAATTTTCACTACTAACACTTGAGTTCATCAAAAGAATTGACAGAATCTGTCTTAAAAATACCATATTTAACTTTCAAATTTCTTACAAAATACAAAATTGACACATCAAGTTAAACTTTATACTTGCTTGTTTCTTTTGCAAATAATATTATCTTGATGTTCCTTGAATCCTTCTGCAAATGTTTACTAAAAATTTGAAATGACTGATATTGGAATGTCATACTAGAAAATACCTAATCAAATTATGATATAACTGGGTAAGGCTGCATACATTGTCCCTTCCCAAACCACAGATTGTGGTACACACTTTTATTTTAGCATATTATGATATTGGAACGTGACAGAGACTTGAATCGTCGTATCTAGTTCCTTGAGAATATATAACTTCTATTTATACAAGCTGTTTTAAGCAAATAGAGAATGGGAAAATTTTGACATATTATATGCCATATAACTAGACCAAACGGGCACCTTGGAAGCTATTGAAGGAGTAAATTAAAGCTTAAAGCCATATCTTTTTTGCTAATCCAACCAAACATGAATTGTTTCGCTTTTCTGAACACAATGCATCACCGACTCTAATTAGTATGCCACATGCACATCATTCTGATTTCTTCCAACTTAGACATATATGTCAGAAAAATAAGTCTAAACATCATAGATACTTCTAGTTTGATATAACTTTTAATGCTAATTAAAGTTGAAGATAAATATTGTACATGAAACATGTTTCAGAAAACATAATACCCATTTTCCAACCACAAGGTTCATGATATATCAGGTCTCTGGGTATACAAAAATGGTGTTATTTAACATCTTACCTCACCCAAATTGTTCAAAAGATAAGAGAGGATACGCAATGTGGCAACCCTCATTGATGGACTACAATCAGCAGTCTCCAGCTGAAAGAGGAAAAAGAAAAGGAATGAAATAACAACAAACAACTTGATACAATTCCATGAAATTAAAAGCTATACCAAACCTTTCTACCCAGAAAACCCAAAAAGCTGCGTTGAGAAGACTCGGTCAACTGGTCTGCTATGCCAACCCGTAGAACATATAGAACACAGGCCTTCAAAATCAAGATATAGTTTTAGGCTTTGCGCTAAGCAAGAACAAAACAATATGAAATCAAACATATGATATAATATTTTGCAGATCTTGTTTTTAAGATTGACAGCTTAGGTATCAGCAGATCATGTTAAGTGGATGTCATATTGATACAAACATGTCTTTGAAGCAACAAATCATGAAACATTCAGGACAAAGCAGGGAACATTTTGTCCTGCTTAATGATACTTGTATCCAGATAACCAAAAGGAAGTCAACCAACTGTTGACCAACCCAGAAAATGTAAATTTAGAGTATCTGAATGTATATGTTGTTCCAATAGCCACTCAATAACTATCTCTGTTGAGACATCCTAGTTGTTAATGTAGGCCTCATGTTTGAGTCCACATGAGGGCATCTTGTACACGGTTTAATGTGATGAATAAAAATTATTTTTAAAAAAAGGTTCAATTACTCATATAAAATAGGCCTATAGCCATGTGACCTAGAATGCTTAACTTCATGATATTAGTAGTGAACAACCTAACCTTATATATCAACATAACTCCTTGCACTTCCAATATGGACCCAATCAGAGCATCAAGACAACGCAATCCCCTTCACTCAAAGGACTGACATCTTCATTGAGGCCCAACACATAGCCTGTTTGTAGTACAACATTTGATTATACCAAATCACAATCTGACCAGACAGGTCCACTACCTTGGAATGGCTTTTAAGTATGATTCATCTTACCGGTCTGTACCAATGTATCGATTGACTATCGGTACGATATACCGAACCGTACTGATGTATCAACACAATGCACGATGGGGCATACCAATAAACCGATATGTGCCGCCCGTATCTGTCCTTTATCAAACTGGTACATACTGCTCATACCGAGTGGTACACTACAATCCGATGAACCCTGCTTTTAAGTATATGATTGATTCACCCTATTTTATTTGAAGATTTAGTTTGTTAATCTGTTATTAAAAAGAGTAGCAAGAAGGTATAATATCTGATGGAAAGTGGACATCACAAAATGTATAATCCTGGAAAGAAGAAAGACATTATTAGAAACGGTTTAGATATGGAGATCAATGCTTGAATACTTAAGATGATACTTATAGTTTGCGTATAACTTTGTCAACATGTATATGATCATTTAAAAGCAGAGACTGTGACCTTGGTACTTCAAGAAAACAAAGGATCAGAAACCTAAATAGACCAGGTCCACAACCAAGCCCTGTCTATCATTTGGTCACTCATTAGGCACTTCATTATGAGCCCGATCCATCAAGTATATTTCCTTTGAGATAAAAGAAAATTCTTCTCTAGTCAGGATTTTTCCTTTCCTTGATGAAGGATAGCATGGATTAAACCCTTTGATATGAGCCAGACAAATGATAGAAATATGTGATGTGCTAAGGAAATGAATGATGATACTCACTGGGTACTTTCAATACATGTCAGATTCTTCAAAACAATCTTAGATACATAAACCACTTACACTTGTGTTAATTGTTGACATATGCATCTAATACTTATGTCACCATCAAACATGTTCAATACAGGTAAAATGTATGGATTCTGGAATTTTGACGTAATGTTTATAATGTCCTTAATGTTTTGATAGTTGTGTGAATGTTTTAAATTGCATACATGATGATCGTTTATTATTCAAAATTTCAAACTGTATGTAATATTTTTAACATATTAGATTTATAATGCATACTTATCATTTGCCGCGTCTACTTGCAGTGCTCTACTTTCTATGATTTGGCATGCTAACATGCTGTATGATGTCACATTTGTGTCCTTTCTTAATAAGCTTTTATTGGGTTTCTTATAGTGAAGACAGAGGGTTTCCTTCAAGTTCTAGGATCTAGCAAGCAACTTAATAGGAAACAAAAGTGAATCAGACATATAGTAGAAAATTATATCTCAGTGAAAAATATGATTTAGTTAACTATACAAACAAATGTCAAGCAGATCAAAAACTACCCAAGGTTGTGTTGCATCTCTTCATATAGATAATTATCCAAACCTAATACAGTTGTGGAAACTTTCATAGACAATTAAATCCATATGACGGATGAAAAGTAACTTCAAATTGAGCTACACGAGAAGACTCCTGTTATCGAGGAGCAAAAGAATACCAGCACGTGAGGATCAGCAAAATCATTCCCTTTAAGAATGTCCATCACAACTAAAGCAAAATTTTGAAGTTCACTATCTGGGATATTATACTTGTGATGAAGAACCTGCAACATGTAATACCACAGTGGAGATAAACATTAAAGTACGGATTCAACCAAGCAGCCAGCAAATTTAAGAGGCACTTTCACAATTAATTATAAGAATATATGTTAAGTAATCCAAGAAGAAATGTAAAAACAAGAATCATTCTGAAGTAATATCCAATAAAATAGTTAATACAGAGTACAAATTGGCTCACATTCAGAATAAAAGATCATGCTGAAAAAGTAGAGAATTTTGTATATTTCTTCCTTTGACAAGGACAACAGTGATTCACAACCAGTTGAACAGAGAAACCACAAAGAGGTAAACAAGTCAAAAAACTAGCAATGTGTAGAAGAAAATTATGTCTAACAAAGGATAAAACGATTATGTACCTCTTCCTAACATTAATTATCTGAGTATGAGCTACAATACTTCTTCATAACATTGATAATATGGGTATGAAACTGAATTAAAACTATGATACCTGGTCACAGATAGCAATGTGAATAAGCTCCCTGACCACAAAAGGAATTAGGAAACATGGAATAAACTTACCAGTAGAAAAGATACCCATGATAATGTGAGACCAACCCGAAGGTCCTTTGCACGAACTCCGCTTGCTGTAAACAAAAAGGAGAAAGAAAAGTGCAAAAAGAGAATATTAGCAGATATAGAGAAATACAATCAATTGAGTAGAAATGGTCATATTTGATAGAGTTTTTTGCAGAGAACAGTCAACAATTTGCTCAATGAAATGTCAAACAACTGCCTCTCAAAGTTCAATAAGAAAAAAAGAACACATATGAATATCCAATATTCACATAAAAATGTTTACTTGGTTTCCTTTATGCTACTTTCCTTTGTACCATCTACATATCATAGGTTGTGAACTGAAAACAAACCATATAATGGTAAAGAGTGACTTGGAGATTCTTACAGGTGTTAGTCAGATAATTGTATTTGTTGTAGTGATACCAGATACAAGCTGTTATGCAAGATCACACAATTTTGTAGTCACTAGAATAATTCTTTCAAATTAGCATCCTTCAGAAACGACAACTTATCCATGGTAAAATCCTGGTTGTTACTACTGTAACAACCCTAGTTTGATCCCACATCAGAAGTGAGAGAAGTTTGCAGTTAGTCTATAAAGACTGCCACTAATTGGGCTTAAGCATGTCAGACCATATGACTCTATGAATATCAAGTTAATAGATTATCTATCCCATTCTATTTGAGTCGTGACAAATGGTATCAAAGTTGTCTTAGTATTTGATAACAGGGGCCTAAGTAGGAAAGGACCACCCATAGAAAGCATTGAAGGCACATCAAAAATGTGAATTATTGTGCTGAGCATCATGTGCTATGATTTGATTCTAGGATATGTTGACTCTCAACGAAGACGTCAAACCCTTACGTTGGAGAAATTGTAACAACTTTAATTTAATCTTACATTAGAAGTGGGACTGTGGGAGAAAACTTGAGTTGATCTACCACTTAAGCATTTAGGGCCACATGGTTTTAAGCCTATCAAATTAATGGGTTATATATACCATTCGGCCAAGTCTAAACAACGACAAAGCATATCATCAATCCCACACAAAATTTGGACTACTCAACCATCTCTTCCAAGCATTAAAGGTATCTCCATTCATGTGCCAGCAGCCCTTTCTTTCTTTTCTATTCTTTTCTTTTCCTTGCTTTGCTTAGTAATGAAATCGCTGTTTTGTACATTATTGCAGCAAAGAATGACAAGATATTATCTGCTTTTTACAAAAAAAAAGATATTATCTGCTAACAATACACAGAAATTCTGAACACAAGTTACAAAACACTAACAGATCACCGACTAATCAGATTTTAGTACATGAATTTTATAAAACAATATTCACAACTGTGTATCACTCATTTCACATGCAGCTATCATTTCACTCCCCATTAATTCTCAACTAGATTCCAACAGTGCACCTCAATTTGCACAACAACAACAGAACAAATAGAACAGAGAATAAGAATCAGAATAACTGAAGCAGTGAAAACCTATAGGTCAATCAATAAACAATAGAACATAGTCACACAATGTAACAAGTATTCATGAATAACAAAGTTAAAATGAAACATGTTAAACTAAAAAGCAAAATCTCTCTGAACCAGTTCAGGACTACAGTCAACCATTTAAACATTTAAACACAACTCCACTGGACACACATTGCTGAAATACATGCATGCACGCCAAAATCATAAAGTATAATTCAAGCAAGTCAAGACTTAAAGCCTATCAGCCAGCACACATGCAAGTCAAGTAACCAAATTCGTAGCAGAAGTCTGTGGAATGCAAAAAATATATATAAGAGTTCTTTTTTATTTTGGACAGTAGACAGAGCTGGAGCAAAGGCAGAAGCAATGCCTTGACATGGCAAGAGGTCGTGCTGACCACCATCAGCAAAGCACAACATCATTAGGCAATGCCACCACAGACTTGATGGCAGAGCCCAAATGGGAAAATAGGAAAGGAAAGATATTAAGAAGTGCCTACCTGTATAACATCTGGCTTAGTTTTATACTAATCTGTCAAATTTCAAAAATTAGTCGTGCCAAAAATCCTACCAAAGGCAAATCTAGTCAACAGGGAGCTTACCTTCAAAACTAATGTGTATGTAGAGAACATCTACAATATTAGTTTTATTTTCTCTCGCAACCAAGAAACAGATGTACAAATTTTAGCTAGGCTTGGTGGAGCATCTAGAAGAAGAGGAACATGACCAACCAAATTGTAGGGAGAGCATTTATTGCAGAAGCATAAATAAGTCATGCCAAAGAAAGGAACAATCAATCTTTACCTCTAACAAATGGTAATATAAAGTGCTTTTGCAAACCATCCTCCAACATCCGTACAGGAGCTGGACCTTTATTCCCTTGTTGTTTCACCTAAAAAGATACGTTTTCTCAAATTTTACCTCATGTGACAAACTTCAAAATATAGTGGTTGCTGAATTACCTGTGCCTCAGGATTCATTGCAAGAGCAAGCAAACCACCCAAGGCTTCGGCAAAAGCATCCCTAACAGATGAAACAGGATCATCAAGAGCCTAACCAACCAAAAAGAGGACAAGGTTGAGCAAATGGATAGATTAAAGTTATGCATAAAAAAATGTTAAGGGAAAAAATCATGAACCAATTTGGAGAAAGAGACGGCATACTTTGAGGCAATACAAAATAGAATTTTCAAGCTCTGTGATTCCTAATCCAGGACCACCTATACTGGCAAATGCCTTCAAGCATCTTGCTGCAGCCATTCTAACGATGAATGATTTGTCACTTACACCAACACGCATTATCATGCGGTATGCTTCTGAATACGCCGTAGAGGGACCACTTCCACCACATCCTTCCAATGCATTCCCAAGCATTTGTAATGCATCTTTTCTAACAAAATCCTGAAGTTATGGTTTAAAAATTATAAGAATTGCTTAGGAAGATAAACATAATGCTTTCTATGTGGAAAAAAAAAAGAATAATATAAGAACAAAAACTGATGGAAAATCCTAAACTAGAATATGAACCCATAAAGCCTTAAAAATCAATATCAAGAAATTAAGAACATCATGGTAACCAATAAAAACAGCAATATCAAATAAAAAAAGTAGATGCAAGCATGAATCAACACAATGATGCCATATACATCAGTGATCTAGTCAAGATCTAACCAATCAAGCAATTACAGATCTATAAACCAAATCTATCTTTGGTGAGCCAGACAATTAATTCTAATAATTCTTGCTGGGATGCAGAGGGAAGGGGTTTGATTTACAGAAGAACCAGAAAAACAAGAAAAGAACATATGCCAATGGTCCGTATCTAACTAATCAAAACAATAACAGATTCATACACTATATGTTAGTTTCGAAACTTGATAGACAATTCTGATTATTAATGCTAGATAAAGGTAAGAGCTTTGATTGATTAAAGAACAACAAACAAAAAGAACTAATCCAATTGTTTAAGCAATTTAATTTTTAACTGTAATAACCATAAGTAGAACATACCACTATTATATTTACATGTGATAAACAGATTATTTTTGGCTACCCAGAATAATCAAGATGTGCTCACATTTATATAAAATAACCTGTTGGCCGCCTAACTAATTGGGGTAAATATATATTATATACAGCCTTCTGCCAAACCCATCTTGAGAATAGCTGCTTGGAAATCCAGAACCTCAATTAGCCTATGTCTGCCCTCATTTAAACATCTTTGTCAGAGACCAGGAGTGTAGTTAGTGATTAAAAGAAACTAGAAAAGAAAAAAGATAAATATAGAGAGAAGGGAGAAGAACTAATGGACCACCTTGTTCAACCTAATTAAGACTCATTTAGGACTCACTAGAAGCTGTCGTGTCAATCTATTAAAAGATGATGATGATTAACATCATTCATGACCTGCCATCAAGTTCACCAAAAAACCAAAACAGTATGACAATTCTGTTTTGAACTCTAATTCATTATTAGAACCTCACATTTTCAAAAATTACTTCATGCTCCTGAACATTTGTTCCAACCTAATTATACAATTTACCCACACATCAACTTTTGTCACAAAGACTAACCTCAACCTTGGGTTTAGTAAACCAAGAAATTATAAATTTTAATCTAGTTTCACTTTGTGTAAATTTGCAATGTTACTTTAAACCCAAATTTGCACAGATAAAGAAAAAGAACCCTTTAATTGTTACATTCTTTACTAAACAAAGAAGATGCCTTGCCCTTGCCAACATGCAACGATGGCTGCAATACAAAACATGGAGATAGAGAAAATTGCTAAAGGGAGATGGGGAATTGACAACCAACAGATAGGTGACCAGTGATGAAGGAATAGAAAAGAAGGGAGAGGATAAAAGGAAAAAAAAAGGAGGTTATTTTCTCTTTTTAATTTCAAAAGATACTTGCAAATGCGTAAAACAAAAAAATTACCTAATTATTGCCCCCTAGTTTATGGCAGTGTATTACCCAAAGTGCAATTAGTCTGTCAACTTCAGGGGACAGGATGTAATTTTCTGTAATGTGAAGTTCAAATATCACAAAAGTAGCTTTTTTAAGATGAAATGCTCACTTGTTAAAAACATAGATGGTGCAACAAAATCGGCAACCACATACTCGTAGTATCCTAACCGTATGGGGATAAATACATAGAACTTTTACAGCCATCAAATAGATCTTTTACAGCCATCAAACTGTACTGAGGGAAATGTCAACAGAGAATGGTCTAGCCAATAACACAAATACCAGTTCAGCTAATTGTCCAACTAATATCAATCATATTTCCCAATAATACAACTAGAATTCATGTTAGATACTCACCAAATGGATAAAAGTTATAACAAAAATCTGATGCAATTCAAAGAAGAATTTTTTATGGGATTAGTAAAAACCAAGGAATTATCAAACTTGAACCCAAAATTAAAATTTGTATATCGAATGCAATTACCACAAAGAAACTACCACATTGCCCCATGTTGCATTTGGGGAAACACATGGAAAAATTACCGAAAACACACAAAGAGAACAAGAAGGGGTAAAAAGATGCATGCCACCAATACAAGTCCAAAAAATGATGAAACCAAACTGATAAAAATTCCAGTAAAACAACAGAAGATATAAAAATGCAACTCAACACCGACGTTCTATTCCAAGCATCATTTGCAAGACCCATCTATGACCTAAATCATGGATTAAAATTTCAGTCTGGTACTGACACTAGCTGGACTGATACAGTACCAACGTCATACAGTGTATTGAGTGTCAGTATAGATCAGTACCGATTGCCAACATTGTGTCAGTATAGATCGGTACCAATTGCTAACACTGTGTCAGTATAGATCAGTGCCAATTGCTAACATTGTGTTGGTATAGATCGGCATCAATCGGTAACATCTAGAGAATCTGGACCACTATAAGCAAAAAGAGACAAACAGAACAACATACCGGGGAGGAGGCAATCACACTGACGACAACCCAGAGGAGGCAGTGACAGAGGTAGGGAGAAGGCAGTGATGTCAATGGGAGGAGGCAAAGGCGGTAGAGGCACACGCGAGGGAATTCAGGAATCAAGATTAGGAAGTAGGGGACAAGGATGACGAACACCAATAACAGGCAGTAGCTTACCGCCCATTACAGTCAATACCTGGTAAGTGCAACCAGGCAATAAGCCTGGTATCGAATCAGATCCAGCGAAGTCACCCAGTTTCACTATTTTACCTGGATCAGCATGCTGGTCAACTATCAAACAGTAAATACCAAATTTGTACTGACAGCTAACCGATTTCTAAACCTTCACCTATACAAGGATGAACACAACATGATAAGATTCTTCAGTCCTCAAATGTGTTATCGTCAACATTGTCTAAAGACTCTAAACTCTAAACATCAGTAAACTAGGGGAGAAAATAGCTCAATGTTGAAAATAGGATAATGCAAGCATAGTTAGCATGATCCAACCCAACACTTAAAAACTGATCAAAACAAGATCATAGATTTCCAATAAACAACAGGACATACAGATGTACAACTCAACTCAAACTTTATTCAGTCCTTAAATACGAGCAATCCTCAAGTTGAACTTAAATTCTGAATACCTAACATCAGTAAACAGGCAAAAAGAACATTAGATTGTTCGAGATGCGACAGTAGAAAAATACAAGGTGTTCATGCATGGATTGCAAGTAGTGGATTCAAACCATAACTTGAACTTGGCCATGCTACACTGAGACCTACTACAAAATGGTCGGAGACTCAGAGTAACCCAGTCCGGCAGGTTGAGTCGTTCTTACCCAATCATCTGGTTCTATTGGATCCCAACTGGGTTCCAAATATATTTGGGCCAAGTTCCAGCCTAATTCCAATCAAGTGTCTTGGTCAACCATAGATAGATGGTCTCAATCAATTTCCAAATCTTCGCAATTGTTTTCTTATTGGTCCCACCAGTTCTCAACTATAGCAACTAGTTTGCACTGCTCCAAGCCAACAGTGCACCTATCGCGACCGATTTTGGTCTTGAATAATTTTCAACTAGCATTAACTAATTTAGTTGTTTCCTTATTCATCTCAGCTAGTTATTAACAATCCCAACAACTTTTGGCTGATCTGGACAAATATCACACCTGTTGTTACTATCTTTCATGGATCTCAAACAATTTTTGAAAGTTTTCAATGATTTGAAATCATTTAAAAGGGCAACAAAATATTTTGAAGGCCAAATTCAATGCCAAACCCTATAGCTGATCTCAAACCCAATTTAGATCCTAGGAACCTTAATAGAATTGTGCAAGTTGCATGAAACACGTGGAACAAGTCCCCAAGCATCAATAAGCTCTTAGATCTCATACCTCCGCATGTCTCGTACGTGAACGATAGAATCATGTCATCGACAAAACAAATATGATTTCACACCACTGACACACAATGTACGGAACCGAACTCAATTCGTTCATCCATTTCTTATTCTATATTTCAATGTTCTTACACCTTTTTATAGGGCCAAATACAAAAAATGTAGAACTAAGTAAAATTATAATTGCATCAAATCAAATATATGATTAATTCTTTCCTTCAAAGAAAATAATAATCTTGACTTGATTTGAAAAATAATCTTCCTCTCTTCATGATGACATTTTTTATTGATAAACTTTGAGATAAAGATAAATCTTCATAATATCCTCAATCAAGATCTGTAATTTTCAATTACAATCACAATCACCTTGATTTCTTCTAATTTTTTCAACGTTTGCTTCCTTCAGAGAAACCTAGGAAACTTATGATTTATGTGAAATAACCCTAAACTAATCAAATTTAAATAATTTATTTAAACAAGTGATAAACTAAATTGGTCTCGATGTGAAAGATAACTACATCACATAGCGACCAACACTAGTGTAGCTCTATAATATGTGGCAATCATTGTAAGAACATAATTTAAATTATTTCATCCGCATTACATTCAAGAAGAATAAAGCAAGTAGCAACATAGAAACACAGAGTAAAACAAAAGAAAGATGCATCACAGAAAGTACCTCATAAAACTTCATTAATTTTGCAGCAAGACTGGTTGTTTCTGTCAAACCTGAAGTAATCCTACGCCCAAATAAACTATACAATTCTCCCAAACAATGTGCCACACCTTCACCACAATTTAGAAGAAAAAAAGAACAATAAGAATGCAGAAATATTTTGTCAAAGAAGCATAAATATTGAAATAAATTACAAAGCACTAGGAGGGAGTTGGTCGATTATGCTACTAGGTACAAATAAATCAGTAGTTGGGATCAAATTTTCAAATGTCAGTTCAATACCAGTTTCAACTTGTTGGAGCAATATGACACTCAGATAGATAGAAGATAAGACCATGCGACCCGGTATCACTCAAAAACTAACCAAAAAAGAAATAAGACTGGGAAACCAAACAATGCCATGTGAGGTCCACTACATTGATTGGCCAACAAATAACAATAGGTATATAGCAATTTGACCAGTATTTAAAACCATGCTTGGGATTTTACCATATCGAGGTTTTCGTAAGCTTCAAACAGCTATATACCATGTTAGATATATTAGTGTTGTATAAGAACCCAATCAGATAGTACTCAGCTCTTAAAAGGCAAAGAGTCTGCCAACATCTTTATCATAAATCTTTTGAACTCTACTAACTATACTTGTGGGAGAAATCATGGGTCGCCTTACCGATCCATACCGGTGTACCGACCGACCATCAATACAACATGTATCGATCCATACCGACGTACCGACACATGATATGGTAGGATGTACTAACAAACCGATATGTACTGCCTATACCAATCCCCCTGTCGAACCGGTATGTACCAAGCAGTATGCCACGATACGATGAACCTTGGGAGAAATTGAGAAAGAGCTTTTTATTTCACATAAACCTTATATGAGTTATCACAAATAACCCCATTACCATTGTTTGCATTCTGACCCAGCGAATGACATCATAAGTTGACTTTTACCCCACGTTGTCAACACCAAGTAACAACAATAGAGTATCTTAAATATTTCATTGTTTTTCTTGATAAATATAAACTTCACAACAAAAACTCCAGTGCAAATGAGACACCTATGTACCCAATGAAACGACAACCACGTGGTGAATCATGAACAATGACAGATACTCCATGCACCCAATCAAACACCCAAAAATTAGAGAAAAATTCAATAATAATGTCATTTTTTCAGCCATAATTAATGGATTGGTGTCGGGTAAGTATTTAACCGAGCCCAAAGAGTGGGAGTGTATTAAGAAGAAATTTGATGAAATCAATATTTGGGTGTCTCAGTGATAAAAAATGGGTATAACAAGCATTTTTATAAGGGCTATGTGATTTCGTTTCTACCTTGTCAATTTATGCACCTGGGTGGGAGTATTAAGAAGAAATTTGATGAAATCAATATTTGGGTGTCTCGGTGATCAAAAATGGGTATAACAAGCATTTTTATAAGGGCTATGTGATTTCATTTCTACCTTGTCAATTTATGCACTGGGTGCCAAATTGGGTGGGTACGCAACTTGTGCCCATGTATTGCCTAGACGGTGATTACATGATGGCTATGACAACTGCATGCCGCTAGGCCAGAATGGGCATCATATATGTGACATGTGCACACCACATCTTAGATCAGCAAGCACTCATCGAGCATTTTTTTCAATAGATCAAAAAAGTATCATGGAGAATGTTTTTCACTATTCCATTGTTGTTCTTGGACATCAATGATAAGTAATATTCAAATACAAGGGCACTACCCAGGTTGTGATGCACATTCAATATTCTTTACACTTTACAGCCATAATGTGCAGAATTAACTGATCCTAATCTAGTGGATATCAGTCAAGACTAGACTCAAAAAACCCTTGATTGTTTGAAGATCATTGGAAAAAGCCTTCAACTAATCCTGATCCCACCAGTTCTAAAACCTTAGCCATCTGATTATTTGAAAGTTGGTCAAAACAATTTTGACTAACCACATCAATCCAGTTTAATTTGCACTCAAAAACCTGAAAATGCAACTCTATTGTAAAAAAGAATTTATTCCCATCAAATTTACCCAAATAAAATGATAGCTCCTATTATGGTTGATTATACTATAATAAATATATATCATGGATGTTGCTCATGTATTTTTAAATCAGTTTCATATGATGTCATAGACATGTATCAATCTCTTCCATCCTTATGCATATCTATGGATCCAATTTAGTGGTTGTAGGATCATAATTTTTACCATCCCACAATATAGAGACATCTTACTGGAGTCCCTTTATAAGATATCATGTGGCACTTAGTCATCAATGCAAGAACTTTTATCAAAATAAACGGTCATTTTAACTTTTATGAATCCAAAGTATAGCCAGAGTTTGCCATTTTAACCTGCACAAGAGAGCGGCTCACTCCTTTTGCCATCAGCTAGCCATCCTTGGAGACTGCTAACTCTAGAGTATATAGAAATTCCATCACCTTTTGAAATTACTCTCCCCATTGCTAGTGAGGCAAGTCTTCTAACAGGGAGTCGTGCCCCTAGAATAAGCAAAGAGTAGAGTGCATCCTCACACTTCCGTTGCCACTGTTGTATAGATTCCTGCAACCATAACACCTGAAAAGCTTAACACCAACCATGCAATTTCTTTCCACCTACTGGCATGGAATAGTCATCCCAACACAACAACAAAATGGTAACTCCAAACAAAAGAAATTTTCAAAATGGATAAACAACATCCTCTGTCAGCATAAACACGACAAAGAGGATCTTTTCTACTCTTCCAATACTTAATTTTGAGTTTCATCCTAGCGATACTTGCGAAAAACATCCATAAGAAAACAGATAAAAGGCCAGAAATTTTAATGGAAAACAGATACAGTGGTCTAGGACCTGACAAGAACTGCCAATTCAGAATGCAAGTTGCATGCGACATATGATACGCTCAGGAAAGTCATCAACAACATTATCAAGCAATACAGTGAAAAAGAATCTACTGTGGTTACCCAATTCTTAAGTTGGAAATTATCATAACAATTTCTGTGGTCAAATTTCCCACAAAGTTGCCTTTGAGAAAAAAGAAATTATCATAAATCCACACAATGGCCTGCATTTGTGAAATCTACAACAGGGCTTCGGAGAGAAACTTCAGAAGAACTAACCTTGGGCTCATCTTTGATAGAAGAAAATAGCTCAAAGAGGTGATTGATGCAGAGGGCATCGTAGGGAGTTGAGCATGTCATGTGGAGTATTGTTGGTGATGACAAGTGGTTGCTAAGGTACTTATAGGCATCAAACAACTTGAGCTGGGTGAAAAGGAAGCCGTTTAAACAAGATATCTTTGGCAGCCTCACCCCTCACTATGGGAGGAGGGAAAACTTAAAAATGAGAGGGGGAGGAAAAGAGAAGCACAAAAGTTTTTTGTCGAAGGAGAAATGGAACATAGACAAGAGACTTAAATAAACGAGGTTAGTGGAAGTTCAATCAATTTTCTTGCAAATACTACACCCTGGCACATAGAATTTGCATGTCTTTCTTTCTTGTCAACAATTCAATACCATATTTAATCGGTGTCTGACATTCACAACAGGAACCTTTTCTGTGGGTCAGGCACAATGTATGTGCTTATACACATGATAAGAAATAAACTAGAAAACTTCATTGTCATATGTGAGTTGAAGATCGCAAGTATAAGAAGCCCAAGAAAGTCCACAATAAAAAAATTTTCCAAGACTGCTAGTATTGTCATATCTAAAACTATAATTCAAGCCACATGTTGAAATATAAACTTATCATCATATGACAGGATAAGCTTTTATTATTTGTTTTCAAATGATTTTTTTTAACTTAGCCTACTTGACTATAATGAAGTTGTTGTGACCACAACCATGGAGCAAAACTTTTTGAGTGTTTTGTCTAAGAAAAACTGGCAGAAGTATCACCAAATGTCAGTAACAATTGGCTTGTGGCATTGGGAAATTCATACGTATGTCCAAAGGAAACTGGAAAAAGAAACAACGATCACCAGACGATATGCGTATTGCATTTCGCAAAAACAAACAAGAGGAATCTAGCCTTGGAAGATGTTCAACGAGTGTTTTCTTCTTTTCTTTCTGTTTCAACATCAAGGGAAGTCTTAGTCCAGCCCAATAAATAGCGCACGGTGGTGGATACCCAGACTTCCAACTAACATCCTCCCAGCCTAGATCAAGACTGCCAAACTGGAGTCCTGAGTACGAAAGATGATGCCCTACGGAAACGCTCAAGTGCCCTTGATTAAGGAAACAACACCAAGCCCATGCGAGCCCTAATCTTAAAAACAATTTGGAAATCCCAAGATCTCGCACCACAACCGGCGAAAATCTTCGCCATCACACCGGGAACAAGCGACAGGGAAGGCGGACGGGATACTAGAGAGGCGGAGCAGATCTTACCTTGGGCTCCTCTTCGATGGCAACGACGAGCTCGGAGAGGAGATCGAAGCATAGAATGGCATCGGGGGGTTGCTGAGGAGCGGAGGCGACGATCGAGCCCAGCTGCGCAACGAGAACGCCGAATCGAGAAAGGGGAATGGCGTCGGCCTCGCGCCTCGCCATGGAGAGTGTGGAAACCGGAGAGGCTCGCAAGGCTTCTGTGGCAACAGAGCTGAGAATGGATCTTGGAACCGGAGAATGTAGGCGGAGGTCCGAAGAGTCACGTGGTGGTCACGTGATTCCTTTTACGATTTCAAATATTAAATTTAATTGTGTTATATGACACTACAAAGTTTTCAGATATATGTGATTAATAAATAAATCGACGGTCAGTATTTAATCAATCGTTGAGTGAAAATAATTCTTTTACTATGCTTCTGATATTTCCTTTTTTTATGTTTTCGATGACGTGGCCCGAATCTGCACAACCACGTATACAAAATTGTTATTAATAATATAAATTAATAATATCAAAAATAATATACATTTATGAACAAATTAAATTTTGCATGTTGAGTTTGGATATTAACGTCATATTTTAGATATAATAATGTTGATTAAAGTTTTAAATAATACATACACAATGTGCAATTTATCAACTCATAAGACAATTAGAAATGAAGAAATCCATAAATATTTTTCCCCATAGAGAGGTAAAAATTAATTCAAGGTTACAATTTTGCAATTGTAGGAATCAGAATGGTTACAGTTCACTAAATTCTTCTGTGGGGAACGGATTATTTCCACCGGAAGCTCTCATGAGCCTCAAATCTTCAAGCTCAGTGAGTGCTTCAAGCTCCCCGCATGGAGGACATGAGAACCCAAGGCCAGCTTTCGGTTCCCGAGCTCATCCACCACGCTCAAGTCCTTGCAGACATCGACCTTGAACACCACATCGCCGGCCGCTTTAGGCCCCAAGTACACCTTCTCGAACCCCAGCAAGTGCTTCCTGGGTGCGTTGTGCACCGCCGGCGGAGACGAGAAGAGGAAGACGGTGTGGCTACCCGCCATGCCTCCCGAGTTCTGCACTCGCAGGTGCACGTCGAATGCTAGGCCGTCGCATGCGTTGCCGGCGAGGTCGACGGAATTGCACCGTTGAGAGTAGCAGGAGTGGCCCTCTTCGAGGGGGATTGAGACCATCTTGGGAGCTTTTACCAGGTGATGGGTGTAATCGGTGTAGCTCAGGCCGTCGCCGAACTCGTAGACAGCGTCGCCGGTGTAGAACCGGTACGTTCGACCGGGGTAGTCCGTGGACGGATCCGGCCTCATGCGCATGTCGGTCATGGGAACCGAGTCTGCAAATGATTGAGGATACCAAGTGACAGGGAGCCTTCCACCTGCAGATGATCGAGGACACCGAGTCACAGACACAAGGAATCAGGATTCAGTCTGGATCAATCCTCTCTGCTAGATTCGACACTGGAACTTACTTGGATTGCAGTGTCCGAAGATGATGTCGGCTATGGCAGCTCCGCCGGCTTCGCCGGGGTACCCCACCCAAAGGATGCTCGAGATGTCATCACTGGTCTTGGCGAACGAGATGTCGAATGGGCCGCCTGACATGATCACGAGGATCACCGGCCCCTTGGCCACCTCCGCCACCTCCGTGATGAGGGACGTTTGCTGGCCGGGGAGGAGCAGATCTACCCGGTCGAAGCTCTCCCTCTCTATCGACTGGTCGGCTCCGACAACCAAGACGGTGGCGTCCGCCGCGGCCGCAGCCGCCTTCGCCGAGTCCAACTGGAGGTCGTTTCCGGCGCAACCCACGTTGGCGCACCCCGGCGCATACACGGTCTTGACGTTGGCTGCTAACCCCTGCAGCGGAGTCGTATACTTGCATGGTGTTCCTGAACACGAGCACGTTAATATGGCCTCATGAATCAAGAAGCAAAGCATTGACGTTAGTACCTTCATAGTTGCCGATCATGGTGAAGGTGGCGTTAGCATTGGGGCCGATCACGGCCAAGGAACTGATAGACTTGGTGTCGAGGGGCAGAGAGCCCTCGCTGTTCTTGAGGAGGACGATGCCCTGCCTCGCGGCCTCGCGTGCGAGCTCCTGGTTCGCGGCCGTGCACACGTCCTTGGAGCCGAGATCACCGTAAGGGAGCTTCCTAGGATCGCCATCGAAGAAGCCTAGCCGCATCAAGACGGCGAAGTTGTTGGCGATCGCCTTGTCCACGTCTTTTTCCCTCAGTTTGCCTCCCTGAACCGCCGCCAGAGTGTGATCGCTCAAGAAAGTTCCACAGTTGAGATCAAGACCTGCACTCGAGATCAGCAGACCATCTTCGACATGACAAAAGTGGCCTTTGCTGCAGAGGTTCTCCACCGAAGAAGAAGAAGAAGATAGACTACTTTCTTATCCGTGCCAGTGCGGTTGGAAGAAAAGGGACAATACCTGCTAAGATGGTAATGGCTGCAGCATCCTCGGGAGTTTTGGTGTAGTGCTGTCTACTGTAGAGTTCATTGACAGAGTCACAGTCGGAGACAATGTAACTGAAAGCATCGAGTTCAGCATTAGATTCTTGGGGAGAAATCATGCATATCTTAACACGAATGTGATATACGAAATCCGATGCGAAGGAAGAAGAAGATACCCATTGAGCTTCCAGTCTCCTCTGACGGTCCCAGCAAGGAGGTCTTTGTCTGCACAAGTGGGGACTCCATTGACTTGGTTGTAAGAGCACATGACACTGGCCACATTCCCATCAATCACGCAGCTCTTGAAAGGAGGTTGGAAGGTGTCATCCAAGTCCTGTTTTGTCACCTACCAAAACAACCAGAATTGCACATGATGAAGGAGATCAGAATTATCACATTGAGCTCGGCAAATCTTTCCCATAATCAGTAATCATCAAGCATGTTCAACTGTGGAAAAAGACTTTTATATGATGCATTCCTTAATCTTTGTACAGATATTGGTCAGTTAAAGAACATAAGATGGCAAACTCATGTATATTTCTTTGTGTTTTGCTTTTTGCCAAATGGAATGTTCTAAGAGTAGCATATAACAGCATGCAAGAACAAATCTGAACCAAACAGTCAATGCATTTGTTGAAGCCTTTAGGATTCTTACAGATATATGAAAATGACAAGTATTTATTTCAAGATTGATGACAATCCACCAAAATATGCTCAACATTTGGAATATGTTAAAGCAATCCATAAAATCTTGTCTCCAATTAATTACCTTAGCATTGAAGGTGTATCTTTCGATGCCTTTCCAGTTATCGACATCATAGGCAGTGTAATGCTTGCAGCAAGCGGCAACTTTGAGCTTGTCTGGATCATCTGCCTCCTGCAAACCCCTAACATATCCAGTGGCATACTTGCTTGCAAGCACAGGATCCTCCCCTGGTGTCTCCTGCCCTCTCCCCCACCTTGGATCTCGAAATATGTTGACGTTTGGGCTCCAATATGTCAGTCCTGCAAGACCCACATTGTGCATTGCTCGGGCTTCGGTCGATACTACCTGTAGCCAAGCACAGGGAGAGCCATTACCAAGACATCGATGCAGAAGCTACTCATGAAGAGATTTGTTTTTGTGAAAGATATATATGTTCCTTCTACCAAAACAAAAGCAAGACTATATTTCAGTCCTTAAGATAAAGATAAAGGAGAGATGGCTAAGACAAGGGTTGGAACATCAGGGACCATGTCGCCACCACCCATATTATTTACTCCAGCCAAAGACAATGACATCTCAACAATGGCGAAGTGGTCACCAAAGACAAACCTCTAATCCATGTAGAAGACGAACATACTACAGTGTCGAGAGACATGTAAAGGTATCATACTTAATGATAGTAGGCAAGCGGATGGAGCAGCAAAGCCAGTCTATCTATGATCTGAATTGTGTGGTCTTCGAATCTATTGTGCTCGCTCATCGCATATCTCTAACAAAGTGATGCAGAGAAATCTAATGATGATGGCGTATGTATGGTAAGAAGCGCAAAAAAAGAAAGGAAACGAGAGGACAATCATGAAGACCAACTTTCCCTCTGTCTCCGCTGTCATTGGTCCACCAAAATAGTATATGGCAGTTTTCTTTTCAGAAGAAGAAATCATAAAGCTGAATTAGAAGAAACAGATGATGTGAACTCAGATTCAAATTAATCCAAGTTCTACTTCCTCTTCCAGATGTTACTCGAGATCGGGCAATCACTGACATCAATGCACACGCTTTGAGTCCCTCGTCAAGCATATGGAAGCATCAGTGAGTCATTTCAACAAGTAATCTTTAGAACCCACAGAAATTTTTTCTTTTCAGAAGAAGAAATGGTAAAGCTACATTAGAAGAAACAGATGATGTGAACTCAGATCCAAATTAATCCAAGTTCTACTTCCTCTTCGTGATGTTACTTGAGAGTAGGTAATCGACTCATGAGGTAAGCACTTACATCAATGCACACGTTTTTAGGTCCCTCGTCGAGCAAATGGAAGCATCAGTGACACATTTCAACAAGTAATATTTAGAACCCACAGAAACATTGGGTCAAGATCTCACCTTTCCGATGGCTTTGAACAGGGTGGCGTTGAAGGAGGCCGCTGTGAGAATGACCTGAGGGAAGCTGGTCGCCCCAGGGACAAGGGTGGAGAAGCGCGTCCCAGGGCCGACGTAGGAGACGCCGTGCAAGGCCTCCGACCACCACTCGTAGCTCGGGATCCCAAGCCGAGGCACCGCCGTGGCCTTGTTCACCAAGAACCCAACTTTTTCCTGCAATGTGAGTCGCTTCACCAAGTCCTTCACCCGCTGCTTCGTTCCCCACGACACGTTGCAGAACCCGAAGCCCGCCAAGCTCCGGTTCGACGCTACGTCGCACGCAAAGATCGGACCTTGGCCGGAAACGCCATCGCAGCACAGGAAGCAGACGAAGCAGAGCGCCAGCAACAGATCAGAAAGATGGGATTTTGATGCTTCTCCCATCGATCCCGCGGCCTCAACGGCCGTCCTCCTCCCCACCCTTACTGGGTCCGGTGTCGGCGCAGGAGCGTTTGGTTGCGACCCGTGACCAAGGGGGAGCTCGACAGGAGGAGATGGCTTTCGAGCGCGTGAGTACTTACTTCGGAGGGCAATTTATTCTCGGGGAACGGTGGTGGCAGGCTTCACTGTTTAGCATCAGACTACTGCTGCATTGCAACCATTGTCGGGGGGGGGGGGTTAATTGGCAGCGCCCAGTCTCCCAGCTCGCGATTAGGC